GGGGGGGGGGGGGGCGACACTAAGCTGAGGCCAAAAGCATACCTTCATGAGCGCCACAACCGGAAAGAGCTTATATGTTTGTGTGGCGTGGGTGACGGATTTAGAGCTGACCTGGGGTGACATTATAGTTGATTTTGACACTGATAGACGCATGAAGGCCACCCCCCACCCACCCTCCTCCGGCCTTCTCAGATGAAACTTTCTGAAAGACATCCTGGTAGTAAAACATTGGCCAACTTGGACCCCAAATGTATTTCCTAACATTACTTGAATACGTTAGTCGCTAGTCACAAAAACGGTGCCTCGGTGGATTACTTTTCCCAGGGTCTCCGGAGCCGTTGAGACTGTCCCGATAGTTGGCACTATTATGGCAACTGAGAAAAATTATTTTCTATCATTAGGCAGGGAAATAACAAATATACCGGGTAAATAGGCAAAATCTGGGATGCAAAAATTCTTTTATTTGACTGTATTGTTTTAATATGACATCGACGCTTATTGAAGTTATTGGTGTCCATAGCTCCTACTTGTACTATACACTGTTTAGAATTTACATACGCATGGCGTAAAAAAAATATTTTAAAACAAATCCTGTAATAAATTTCATGTTTATCATTTCTTTTCGCGCGTAATGAATCTGCTTTGAAAAATAGTGGAGACTTGAAATTGTCCTTCGTCTAGTTGTTAAATTTGATGATTTAATATATACATATAAAAATGCATTGAGAAAAGAAATATTCCTACTGATTTTCACTCATTGTATTTTTAAAATCTTCAAAAAGGCATTATTGCGACTCTAGAATAATTTAAATTCATCTCGAATATTTCTCGCGAGATTTTGACATAGTTTTCAAACCGTCATGGCAGATTCCTGGAGATGTAAACACTACTCAAAAGATGTGTGGATTTCATTATTTTCTTTAATAAATAATGCTATGAAGTCCGTTTAGACAAGATATAATTATGACTTTTAACAAATATTCATTATCAAGTCCAAATTGATTTCTCGATGGCTTTAAAAGATTTGTGAGCTCTTCTTTTGTGTAAACTGGAGTGGAAACTACGGACGCCGCCAAGAATTAAAGGTTGGCAACGGTGTTGGCATTGTAGAATGTAGGCCTACTTGTAGCTTAGTTAATTAGAAAGTCGCCAGTGGGATGATATTTGAAATATTTATTATAAATAAACGTAGATGTAATGCATTCACACTGTTAATATAGAAAAAAATATTGCAGTAGCCTCAGTAGCCTACTGAGTCCATTGTCCGCCTATTATTTTATTATTCAAATTTAAATTTAATTTTAAATTAATTATTTTAATGAATGATAGTAAATATAATAGTAAAAGTAATATAGTAATAATAATACTGATACCTCAACATAAGTTAAGGACTTCGACGAGCTGGCTGATATTGGTAATTGGACCTTAGTCTGTTTTGTGTTAATAGTGAGAATGAAGTTTGTACAGTACAGGCATTGGCCAAATTAGTAACACTGCTTCCTAAGCTTCTCTAGTGAAACATTCTATCAACACCATAGAAAAGAATGTTGAACCACTTTCATAAGGCAAGCTTTAAGAAAATCCTCAACATCGAATGGCAGGACAGGGTCCAGACACTGTGATACTTGCACAGACAAGTCTCCCAACATCTTAACCATTTTAATGCAGTCTCAGCTTTGTTTGGCAGGACATTTTGTGGTAATCTACCACTTGAGCGTCGGCCAAGAAAAAGTTCAGTTTTTCCGGTTTGAAGGGCTATATAAACAATTATTCTTACATTGGAGTCTGTTAATATTTTTGCTTCCGTATAGAGGCTATTAAGTTATATAGCACAAAACTAATACATTTAAATACTTATTACTGCCAAGCTACCGATATGCCAAGAAGAAAAAGAGACAACAATTGTTTTGTTTGATCCAGATGACGCGGATGTCCACACACAGAATGTGGAAAACGTGAATGCTCAGAAAGCGTAAACTGAAAAGACAGTTTGGCACAAGAAGCGCCGGTGATCTTTCCCCTTCATATATACGTGGATTCATGTACCACAACCGTTTTCGTGGAAATTATATTTTTTTAAACTTCATTGTCAACTTGGGGGATAACTATGCATAATTCCATTTTCACACATTATCTTCTATTTCAAAAAAATTGTTATAGTTTTTCTATTTAAAAAAAAATTGTCTATTATTATGGGAATGAATAAGTACAACCAATGTCATTAAAAATAATATAAGAATAGTTGTTTAAATAGCCCTTCCAACCAGAACAGCTGGATTTTTTCTTGGCCGACGCTCAAGTGGTAGATTACCCATTTTGTTGTGAGAATGTCAGACGAATGATTTCCCAAAATAATATTCTATGGTTAACTCGAGCATGGAAGGTGATTTGCTGGTGCTCAGAAGAAATGATTTAAAAACAACATGAACACCTCAATGAAAGCATTCGATATAGACCTGGACACAAGGGAAGAATCTGCAAAGATCAAGCATTATGCTGGGTTTTTTTTTTACACAAAGGCTTCACCCAACATGAAGCCAACAGAACAGCATCTAGAAAATACAAAAGATGGGGTGAAGGAAAATTCCGGTTAACTCTGGATCTTGAGATGTCCCATACATACCCTGAACTTACTGCACAAGAACAACATTTCGTGCCAGAATCTGTCTCATCAGTCATCTGCGCACCTACAGCCAAGTTGGGAATTAGGACATATACAATGATAAATGTGATCATGGTTGATTTTGACTCATGGTAATAAACTATATATATATTATTTAGGTAAGTTTAAGGACTTGAGGCATTATTTAACTTGTGTAATTATTTGGCCAATAGCCTGTTTAATCAATTCTTCTTCTTCTATATATTAAGGGCCTACGATCAATTTATTGGTCATTTTGGCTCCTATGCATATAGAGGGGATTTGCAATGTTTCAATATTATACTATTTATAGTAAGGACTGTCATATGCATGATGTGAGTCCATAATGGATTGATGGAATTATATAAATTTCAACAATTTATTGGCTTTCTAGGCTTATTTCAACCATTTACTTCCCATTTCTCTGAGAATTCTGTAATTTTTCTTGATATTACAAATAAATTTTATTACTCCTCTTTTAAAACACAATGTAATATCCTATAATAAACCCACTGACATAGTGTCTTAATTTTATTCGTTCTTCCACCCTAAATACTGTAAAGTGTAAAGATCCATACCTTTCTGTGTTCACAATTTCATAGACTAAGTTGCCTTTGCCACTGTGTTGAAGACTTTCTGGATAAAGCAAGTGAAATAATGGACTTTTCTGTTCCAAATTTTATCCTCGAACTGTACTGTGCTCAGCAGAGTCAGTACTACTACACAAAATTGTGTGTTCAGTTCTTATTGAAATAAAAGTGATAAGCTCATCCTTACTTACCATCCTTACAATGTGACTGCCAAAGAAATGTATTTGAAAAATAGTCACATACTGCTGGCTGACCTTGACACAAATGGAATATTCTCATCTCCCACTCAATCCCTATTGCTAAGAAGCAGCATCTATGACCATATTTAACAGGGTCCAAAACAACTCCAACCTCTCAGATACATGTATACAACTGATAATCTAACAGGCATGCACAATCAGTACACACCTGTACACTCACAGCAGGAGGCATGGAACACCTTATCAGAAAACCCAACAACTTATACCTGATTGTAATTGTATTGTGATTTTTCTATGCATTTGATGGCAGGGCAGGAGCCAAACACAAAACTCTTGAAATGTGTAGTATGCTATGAACTTGATGGCATGCCAAGGAGCCAAACACAGTTGAATGTTCTCCACTGTCAGTGACAAATACTTTTTCTGGCTAATCCATACATGATAAGAAAGCCAGACCACAATTACAAACGTCTGCTTTATGCCGAGCTGACATGGGGGGAGGGCTGATTGGGCATCCATGTCTGCACTATGTGTGCAAGAAAGCAGTAACAGCCACCAGCATTAACACCATTAAATAGGCTAAGGAGGTGTGAAAACAAACCTTGCAGAAAGAAGAGCCAACAGTAATATAGAATAATTATCTTTGCTATTCACAAGTGCCAGTTTCTCTATTATCAGACTCTTGAGCCACTTGTTTAAGTGCCGATAGGAAGTCAAAATGATGCCACTCTTAGAAGTTTCCGATAGGAAGTCAAAATGATGCCACTCTTGGAAGTTTCCGATAGGAAGTCAAAATGATGCTACATATGAATTTCTTATATCAGTAAGATAGCTTCATGCACTTTTGATCCATTTTATGAAGCGTCATTCAATTTGGATGTTTCCCATCAAGATTAACCTTTTCCTGATATTAAAATCTTTAGATCTTACTTTGTAGGATTTCTCTTTTGAATTTTTCACTGCAAATTGTTTCAAGGGAAAGAATATTTATCTCTGTCACAGGTTTATTTGTTAACTTAATTAATGAAGAGAAGGAAGTTAGTAAATAAATTTAGAAATTTTACTTACACATTAAAAAAATACAAATTGATTTTGGTTTATACCTTTGGCTCAAAGTTAAGGATGTATTTTGCTGCAACCTTGAGGATTGTTTGGAAACTCTAGGGTGCTGTGGATCACAGCTGTAAACTGCTGAGCAAGAATAAAAATGTGCATAGCATGTGAAACTTCCTGGTCGCTTAGAAACAGTTATCTTCTAGTTTTGATTTTATTCTGTCCGTGAAAATGTTTCCCAAATGTATTGCTTTAGATTTGGAAATGAAGATATCTTTTTTATTTTAAAAATTGTAAAATAAATTAATATTTGATTTCTATTTTTTCTCTCAAATTTTACTATTATAAGGTGTGAAAATCGGATAGAACCTCAACCATGGCAAATTTAATTCAAGATGAGGAAACACTGCAGCTGGTGAATTTGTCTAGAGTAGCAACATTGTACTTAGATAAGCTGGAGCGATACGACAGCCAAGAACTATTATCGTATAGCATGGCACACTGGCTACTCTCCAATGATATCTTCAGGCTCCCAACAGAACAATTGCAGGGATTAATTTCTGAGATGCATCCTAAAGATAACACTGCAGTCTTGTTGTTTCCACTTGATGGAACAGTACCTCAGCTGTGTTACAGGTTAGTTGGACTTTTTTCCTCTAATTTTTAAGTTCTGCATTATTTCATATGTTACAACTGGAATTTGTTTACTTTCAGAGAATTTCACAACATAGTCCGAGAGCTAACCATGGGAATCTATGTAATGCATCAAACACCAATGATTTCTCTCGAGGCAAATTTTGACCAGGCAACTGCTTGTCAAATTCCACCAGCGTATATCAACACTCGCGTGGGACAGCTGTTAATTGCTGTAGACTACATGATGAAAGGCATGTGGCATGGGGCATTTTTCCCCAGAGAAAAACGTACCAAATTTGGAGAAAGATGGCGAACAAATCTAGATGTTAATAGTTTAGGCAAAGCCGAGACTAAGAAACCTCTTCTTGGGGAATTTATCAGTGCAGGTAATATTTATCAATTTATATTATCTTTTGACAACCGAATTAATTTTTTTAAAGTTCTTTTCCTCGAGCTTATAATATACAAATTACGCAAAATTTATTTGCATTATTAGGTTTCAAATAGCAATCTATTACTTTTTACAAACTAGGGCAAATTTAAGCATTTTCATAATATTACAGTACAGTTTCATTCGCTGTTAGGTACGTGACATTGAAATAAACTATAATTCACTTTTATTGCAAGACAGAAAGATACCAATTTGATTTATCTTTATCATCTTTAGGTCTAATGGACATCACAAAGGATCCAGATTTTGCCAATATATATGAAAACATGCCTACAGAACTGCCAGATGATAAGGAACAACTAGAAGAGCTGGAATTTTTCATGAGTCATGTAGAAAACCTCAGCATGAGAATGACATTTACTCAGAATGAGATTCTTTTTCATCAAAACTTATATATTATTGAGTAAGATTTACACTACACAATCATTGTTTGTCTTTTTGTGAACAATCCAATGACAGCTTTTCTTTGAATGCACATACACTTTTTGTAATAGCAAAATGGGGAAATATATGTCCTCTTAATTTTAAACTTTAATTGAAATGTCAAAATTCATTACAGAAGGCATGCAACTTATTTGTTAATTCATTTTTATTTGCTTTTACATTGATTATAATCTTAGTTTCAAACATAATTTCAAATCACTTACAGAAAAAAAGAAAAAGTATTACTATATTATTCATAGATAGCATGAGATAAAAAAAAATTATTTAACATTAGGTAGGTATTCAGATTCAAAATTATTTTATTTTCTACAATCAATGAAAAGAACTTTTAACACAAGCTTAATTTACTGTAGTTATGTAAACTGATTCTCTCACTAGATTTTCTTACCCAGTTTTATGATCAATCCATCAGTTCTAAGTATCAAGTGTCCAGTATTGTACGTCTCATGGACACCCAAATCGATCATACTGGCTATGAGCGTCTAAAGACAAAGCTTCAAATGCAAGAGGATGTTATTCAGGTAGTTCCTATATAAAAATGAAATAGAAAAAAATAAAATGTAGCTTATAGTTTAAATCTCATAATCTTAAATTGAACCATGAAAAGATTAATTTCATTTTAATTACAAAATTTGATGTATTTTTTGCCATAAAAAGTATTGTTTAAATGCAAACTTTTTTGTTTAGAAATCACTAAGTGCTAAAACAGAAACGCGAAGGCAGCTAGAGCTACTTAAGCTCATCAGTTACCTTGTGCCTTTCTTGCTTGGCATGCGCAAGAGGATGAGAATCCCTGATATTAATAAGCTTCTGCCTCCCTTCACAAGTAAGTTCATTATTCAAATGGACCTCAACAGTAGCTGATAAAAAAATTGACTTTGTTTATACATCAGTGATCTCTGATTCTTTCCTACAATAATGTTAACCTGTTTTAAAAAAAATGTAATTTTCATAGAACCTCTATTGATTTGTAATGATAGGATTAGGGATTTTTCTACACACTATGAATTGCTGCTTTTCACATCGCATGGTTCAAGAATAAAATATAAAACAATAAAACTCCTGGTTCCGATGTTCCAGTTTGACTTTTGTAACTGTTTGCTAAGCAACTTGAAGGAAATGATTCAAATTGACCTTCCTTATACACATCTCTTTTTGTTTTTTGAAAGAAATAATTTCATTCTATGCTTATTGCCTAGGCCAGTTATTCCTGTTAACCGTTTGTCTGTCACAGGTTGCTAAATGCTAATAATAGTTGCGTTCCTGCAGGTGATGAATGTCGAACAGAGCGGGAACTTCCACCTTTGATGGTCGGCCAAGACTTCAAGTGTAAAAATTTTATGGCAACTGATAGTTATTTTCATCTGCATGGAGGTGAGCTGAACATAGTACAAATATGCATTGGGTCCTGTGGAGGTGAGCTTAACATTGTTAAAATATGCATTGGGTCCTGTGGAGGTGAGCTGAACATAGTACAAATATGCATTGGGTCCTGTGGAGGTGAGCTTAACATTGTTAAAATATGCATTGGGTCCTGTGGAGGTGAGCTGAACTTAGTTAAAATATGCATTGGGTCCTGTGAAGGTGAGCTGAACATTGTTAAAATATGCATTGGGTCCTGTGGAGGTGAGCTGAACATAGTTAAAATATGCATTGGGTCCTGTGGAAGTGAGCTGAACATTGTTAAAATATGCATTGAGTCCCATGGAGGTGAGCTGAACATTGTTAAAATATGCATTGGGTTCTGTGGAGGTGGAGGTCCGCTGAACATTGTTAAAAAATATGCATTGGGTCCTGTGGAGATGAGCTTAACATTGTTAAAATATGCATTTGGTCCTGTGGAGGTGAGCTTAACTTAACATTGTTAAAATATGCATTTGGTCCTGTGGAGGTGAGCTGAGCATACTTAAAGTATACTTTGAGTCCCACAAAATAAGACCTGAATAAGTCAGACATTGCATGAATTTAAAAAGAATAATAAGGGGGTGGGGGTGGAGAATGAAATCAGGTTTATGTAAGTTTTAATGTTTATATTTGTGTTAGTCTTTCTTTGTTCACTGAAGAAGGCTTCTTGCCCATACGTTTGTTGTTTTGTTTTATCCTTCTCTGCAGGTTTTACCATACATTGTTTGACAAATTTAATTTCCTTAATAAATTTAAAACTTGTATATTTATTTTATGTAAATTCACTCTCCATGTTAATTTCATTGATTTTGTGACATATCATATGGTTCCTTTAGTTAATGTTTTTAAAAATGTATCTATCAATTAATTTTGTTATACTGTAGGTAAATAATATGCCAATCTTTGACATGTTTCAAACAAAAAGTACACAAATAAAATAGGACATTCCTACTTTGGGCTAACTGACCCATTTAAAATAAATAAAATTAAAAATCAGAAGAAAAAAATGAAGAAAAGAAGTAAATTTATAATTATCTGAAATAAGATGTTTTGACTTTGAAAAACTATTTGATTTTAAATGAGAGCATTGGATGACACATACACTCCGATTCAATGGGTACACTTAATCACACCTCACAGTCTTGTTTAACTGGAGTCCTTTGTTACACTTACATTCTAGTTTACTCAAAAGGCAGACTAGAACTATGTTTGTTTCTTGCATCTGTAGGACACATTTATTGAATTCACAAATGATAACACAAGTGTGTCCTCAAACTGCTCTTGCCTCTCTTAAATCGATGAAATAAATTGTTGTTTTTTTGGTCTTGTTGACAGGTATAAACATTGATCTAGAAACTGACTCGATGAAACCTGCCAGCAAATGTTTTACAGACCACTATGTTAGCATCTCTGATGTTGCTGTGAAAGAGTTATATCTTCATTTGAATCCAGAGCAACAGCGAGTCAGAGATCACTACCCCATACCTACTGTGGAAATTGATGGAAAACAGTAAGTTTCTCAGGAAACATTATGACATGTTGACTTTCAACAAAATTAATGTAGCCAAAAAAAACTTGGTTTTAAAGTCAGTTTTATACTTGATCTTTAAACAAATTTTTTTTTTCTAATTAAAACTCTGTGTTACAAAATATCAGCAGAGATAAGAGATAATTTCATGCAAATTGTGAAAGATTGTGTAAGAATATTTAGGATTGTTTAAGATTGTGTAGAATGTGTAAGATTTATAAGAATTTTAAAGATTGTTTAAGAATATGTACTAATATGTAAGGTTGTATAAAATTATGTAAGATTGTGTTAGAATGTGTTAGATTGTGTAGAATGTGTAAGATTGTTTTACATTGTGTAAGGCTGTGTAAGAATATTTAAGGTTGTGTAAGATTGTGCAATCTTTTAGAGGGGGAATCTAAACAAAGAAGCAGATCACAATATAATACCTGTCCTAATTTTGTCTTTAAAAAAATAAATCTCTAATAGTGTCCTCCATAGATCTTGTTTAACATGAAGATTAACATGAAGATTAAATCTGGCTATACCCATTGCCGGACCTGAAGTATTATAATGTTGTTAGGCACCATTTAGAGTATTCTTGTGGACTGCGATAAAATAAAATACAATTGACTGGCTTATTGAAATCTTGTTTAACAGATACTACGCGCTAGTGATAGAGTTTGAAACATTTTATGGAGTTTCACCTCACAAGCCCTTATGGGTCAGGGCATTTAGTGATGAAATGGATAAAATGAAACCGAAACGACTCCCTCTCACAGACATCCAAATGTATGAACAGTTCAAAAAGAATTTTGGAGCCAAAAAATCAATAAAATACAAGGTAAAAAAAGGCAAAGACTCATCATGTAAAGTTAATTTTTTTAATCATCATCAATGGTGCCACATCCCATGCAGGGCTCTGGCCTGGTTCCATTCAGACCAGTCCGTGGCTCTTTAATCTGGCATCATCTTGATGGGTCCTGTCCAGTTTAATTGTCCTGACAATGAATGTATCTTCATACAACTTGTATACTGTATTTCTTGATGTGTTTAATTTGTCCATCCATCGTTATTCTGTATAGGCCTGCATATTTTTTGAGAACTTTTCTCTCCCATGTATTGTGCAGGTGTTTGATTTTCTTCGTGAGGGTCAATGTCTCATTTGCAGACATTACTAATGGTCTCATAATGGTGAGGTAAATTGTTTTCTTTATTTCCCTTGAGAGAGGGTTTCTGCTTCCTATTAAGTTTTGTAGAGTGAAGTATGAATGGTTTCCTACTGATGTCCTTTCCTTCAGGTCCATCCGTAGATCATTGACCTCATTTGTGGTAGCTTCTTGGTATTTGAAAGCATCCACTCTCTCCAAGGTTTGGTTATTTATTTTGATGTTATCATGTGTACGTCTGTTGCATGACATCAAGGTGTATGTCTGTTGCATGACATCAAGGTGTATGTCTGTTGCATGACATCAAGGTGTATGTCTGTTGTATGACATCAAGGTGTATGTCTGTTGCATGACATCAAGGTGTATGTCTGTTGCATAACATCAAGGTGTATGTCTGTTGCATGACATCAAGGTGTATGTCTGATGCATGACATCAAGGTGCATGTCTGTTGCATGACATTAAGGTGTCTGTCTGTTGCATGACCTCAAGGTGTACTTGGTCTTTGCTTCATTCCCCTCTAATCCTGCCTCAACCAATTCATCGTCGAATTCATTTAAAGCGTTTACTATGTCATTATTTCTGCACAGTCAAGCTGTTTTGTATGCATATTTTTCTATATAATGTTCCTTTGGTTGTGTTACATTTCTCTGGAAATAATTTGTAATAGTATGTTTCTAATGTGATGTTTAACATGTTTAATTTGGTGTTTTTTAATTAAGTTTTCATTAAAATCTTTCATGTGACAAAGTGACTTCTAGCTATTCTAAGTATTATGTTTTGAATAATCTATTCTTTTGGATTAAGTGTGACAAAATATTCTGTTCCACGGTGAATTTTGAAGAAAAATAATAATTATTTTAAAAGTAACAAAACTTTAATGTTTTGTTTGAGAGATTGTTCTGCAAATACTTTGCTCACGCATTTTTGTCACAAATATTGTCTTAAGAAATTCTTCGTGCTTGAATAAATACTGTATAGGATATTAACAAGTCTTAGTATGTGTTTTAAAGATTTACTCATAGGAATTTTAATATTGGCTAAAATAGTGATTGATCCATAAGCTTGTTAGCACTTAAATAGCATAACTCATATAACAATACAACACTGTGATTCAGTTTTTGTTTCCTTTGGCACAAGAGTTATACAAAATGTGTTGTGATTCTTCCAAGTAAGGTTTAAAATCGTTATAGATATCTTTGAGAAAAGACATCTAATCTCTCAATTAGTAAAGTCATTAAACTTCACTTATTTAAAATTTTAAGAATAAAAGTTTTTAAAAATTCCAATAGAATTAAATAAGAAATGACATTATAAGATGTAATCAAATAAAAGACAAATATTTTAAGCTTCCCATTTCTTTCCTCACGTTTTTCCATAGACCCCAATTTCTGGAATTAAAGTTTGTGCACAAAGAGGTCTCATCTCAATGTTTAATGCACTGACCAGGAAGATATCTGCTACCCGAATCACCAAGCAAGATGAACAGGGTCTATCACTCATACACCATGCAGCAATCTTCAACAGACCTCAAATCATCACATTACTTCTGTTGTTGTCCACAGATGTCAATGTTCGCAGAAATAACATCATGTCAACAGGTAAAAGTAACATCATGTCAGCAAGTTATTATAATATTATGTCAAAAAGTTATTATAACTTTATGTCGAGTTATTATAACATTATGTCAACAAGTTATTACATCATCATGTCAACAAGTTATGATTACTTTATGTCAAGTTATTATAAAATTATGTCAACAGTTATAAATAATTTTATGTCAATAACTAATAATGCTGCTGCACCTTATTTTCATATTCAAGATATTTGGAAGCAAATCAGAATTATTAAATTTTTTTTTTTTTTTGGTTTTCTTGTCCCATAAACAATTTACAAGTCTTTTCAATGTTGAAATTCAATATATCCTGTAAATCAAAACTGCTGGGAAAACGCAAAAATTTAAATCATTGAAGACATACAGTTCTATTACTGTAGTTCTATAAATTTGACGGTAAAATTTAGTTTGGTGAAATTTTAAGATTGTAATAAAATCTCAAATGTCTTTCAAATCATAAGAAGGCTGGGAAGGATTTTCTTATTGTGCTGATTAGTACAATGGGAAAATAGGCCAGGTGGCATTCTAAACTTATCATAACAACAAATAATGGGAGTGTGAAAAATGTGTTACTCTAGGACTCTGAAAATAGTTTTAATAAAAAAGTTTGTCTGATTCCAGACAAAAAACATTTAGACTCTATATCTAATTGTAGACGCATTTTTATATTTCAGTTCAAAGAAATATATTTAGGACATCATTAATATTATATCAGAAGAAAATAAGTTATATCATAAAAGAAAATATCATATGCCATTATGAGTGAAAGATCTCTTTATGTTTCCAATTTCTGAAATGGATTTTTTCGTTTTTGAAATGGGCACTCATCTGTCATTGATTAAAAACAAGGAAATATGATTTTAAATATCTCAAAGATCATCCATGCATGTCTATACTGTATAATAAATTTAAACCATCCCCATTTATCACATTTCATCACATTAGTATTTGCATGATTTGAGCTCTTGGTTAGAGTTTGTAAACAAACTGAGCCCTGTTAGTCCTTGAAATTCATTTGTTTGTTTTCTAATCTAGCTTATCTTAAAGCCACCCTAGATTTAAAAGAACAAAGAAGTAGCATAGAGCTTTCCCTTGTTAGGAGTGAATTAAAAAAACTGGACAAAAATGACGGTATTCGTTCAGTGCAAGGTTTCAGTTTCTGATTGGCTTTCAATCAAATTTTGTGTTCTACTTTATTCTGTGCAGACAATTTTGTGTCCGACTTTATTCTGTCAGACAATTTTGTGTCTTACTTTATTCTGTGCAGACAGTTTTTTTATTTTTTTAAAATTGTTAAAGTTTTATTTAAGTTTTATACACATGTAAATAAGATTGAAGTTGAGTTAATTCTGCTTCTAAGTTGACAAATTTTTCTGTTGTTTAAATAACATGTCTGTTTTAAATTCTTTCTTTAAAAAAGATATTTCAAAACCAATTTCAAATATTTTAGTGACATATTATCTTCATTGATAGACATTGAATAACAAATTATTTACAGTTAACTCAAGATAATTTCAAATGAAAAAGATGTCTTATTAAAATAATTAAAGAAATTTATGAAAGAATAACTCTGATGCTTGATAATAAAATTTCTTGACAAAATATAGGACCTACAGCTCTTCATATGGCCGCAAGATGTGGATCTCTTGATGCAGCTAGCTGTCTCATAGCTAATCATGCCAGTCTTTTAGCTATTGACCAAGATGGCTGGGCTCCCATTCACTATGCGGCTTTCTTTGATCATCAGATTATTGTCAAACTAATGTTGCGAAAGAGCTCTGAGCTTTTGGAACTTACAACAAAAAATGAGTAGGTCAACTGAGAAAAACTTGTAATAAAGATCAATTTATTGTAGCTGTGATGGTCGACACTCAACAAACTTGGTTCTTTTAAAAGATAGATACTTTGTCAAGTTAAATTTAACGCCATCCATAAATAGATACTTTGTCAAGTTAAACTTAACGGCCATCCATAAATGCATACTTTGTCAAGTTAAACTTAAGGGCCATCCATAAATGACATCATGCTATTTTGGCAGATTTTTATCCCCCCCCCCTCTTTCCCCCCTCCACCCATTATCACAAAAAGTTTGTCCTTCCTCCAATTTTATGTTCTTAGATTCCTATAATATAAAATCAATTACCTTGAGTACAACAGATAATTCTCCCATCCACTACTGTGTGTGTTGCAACCTTTTGTTTACAAACCAAAAGATTTGACTCCCTTGGATATTGAATGATTGCATTTGCATCAGAAACACTTCTAGAACATTTACTAAGATTATATCTTCCTGATCAACTATTTTTTTGGGGTCTTTCTCACTTTACGCATCAATAAGTCTCAGACACCAATCTTCTACTTTTGTGACATAATTTATATCATTGCCTCTTCAAATCTTGATAACTTGATCAACCCAGACCAATGGTCAGAGCCCATTTCCGACATAAAATACCTTTTACCCTTTTACCAGTTGCCCACAGAACTGATTTGCTCATTTATAATGATGGTGATCATAGTTTAAATATGAAAACATTGAATCAAAATAAATCAAACAGCAAACAAACAACACTCTTACAACAATCAAGCAACAATCTTACAACAATCACACATTGAGAAAGTTTAAGAATAAAAATGTAATTATGAAAATTGATGTGTAAAGAATAAATAAAGTATGGTAAAAAATACTGACAATCTTTTTAAATTAAGTTCTGCTTTTGATGTGGCATCACATTACTTAACACCTCCCTCCCCCCATCCCCCAGTCTGTAACCCTCTCTCCCTAGATGATTGTTGTCATTTATGGAATGACCCCTTGATAATCTTACATAAGAAAATAAGTTTATTACTCCCAGGTACTGACACTATTTAAAAATATAATTATGAAATAAATTTATGTAGAAGCCCACCGTGCACCATTTCAGTTTCAGTGAGTTTAAATGTTCATGAATAGTTGTAGTTGAAGCATTGCATTTTGTTTGAAAGAGCAGGCATGTACATATAAAAGGAGAGAGAGAGAGAGACAGAGCAGATAAATATCTCCGATGCCGATAACATGTGATTTTTCTAAAAATGACAGATTATCCTCCACGCCTCTACTACTTGCGGCAAGCTCAGGAGCACTAACATCAGTCAAAGTCATTATAGATTTTGGTGCCAACATCAGGGCAGACGATGGGGAGGGCAACAACCTGGTCATGCTAGCAGCACTCCGCTTTCATACCTTTGTGTTAGAGTATCTCATTGACCTCGAGCATGCAGATATTCCTGTCTGGTCTGTTCTAGTTGGTAGGTGTTGTTGTAGATGAGTTTTCTGGGTCATGTTCGTTGGTGATGTGTTTGTCATAAATTGAAATTCCTATGTAAAAACAATAAAAGTGTTATAACAAAAAGGAAAGGACTATTATTCATATCTTCACTTAAGACAGCCGTTCTCAACCTGTGGGTCATGACCCCTTTGGAGGTCGCCTAGGACCATCGGAAAATAAATATTCATGAAGAAGCAATGAAAATAATTTTATGTTAGGGAGTCAACACAACATGAGGAACTGTATTAATGGGTTGCGTCAATAGGAAGGTTTAGAACACTTGATTTAAGTCAGATGTGCTCATACCATGATCTAATTATAATAACCCTTCCAGCTATGCTAAATGATGAAAGTCTGGTTAAAAAAGAAAGTGCAGTGAAATGCCTTGAAATTCTCTCAACTTCTAAGCCAGCACATTGGAAGAACATTCTCGATGCTGGTAAGATTAGAAAAACAGCTTGTTTTTAAAACTAGAAAACTTTTATTTATCTTGAAAGTGGACATTCATTTTGCCCAATGCACATAGATGAACATTGTTTCTTCAAAAGTTTTCAAGTAAATTATTTGAATTAACAATCTTTAAGTTGAACAATGTAGGTTATCTCTCTCTAACATAAATCTGTCATATCCAATACACTTTTAAATTTGCCCTTAAAAGGTCAAACAATGTAGATATCTCTCTAAAATAAATCTGTCATATCCAGTACACTTCTAACTTTGCCCCAAAAGGTCGAACAATGTAGATATCTCTCTAACATAAATCTCTCATATCCAATACCCTTCGAACTTTTCCCCAAAAGGTGGCATCCCGGCTTTGGTGAAACTGTTGCACATTGAAGTGGCTGAGTTACAGTCAGTGGTGGCTTCTGTCATCTGCAACATCTCAGAGCATGACAGTGTTCGGCATGCACTTTCCAGGGCTAACGCTGCACCTGTCCTCATCAAATTGTTGAGTTCATCCATAGATGATGTTCATTCCCGAGCGGCCATCATTCTTTCCGATCTCTGCTGTGTGGAGCAAAATCAGGTCGGTTTGTTTTCCAAGTGAACACTTAGTAGACGTTTTTCCACTGATGTCATATATTTTAAATTTAAGTAAGCACTGACTGATCATTAAAATGTTTCCAATACAGTTTCAGATCACCTCATTTATGTTACAACTTAAAATGATTATATTTCTGAGTTTTTTATATGATAATATTCTGACTTGATCTGTGTTTGCAGACGCTGATTGCTGAATGTGGTGGTATCCCTCCATTGGTCAGACTGCTGGAGTCTGAGCTTGAAGATGTTTTGGTCAATGCCGTTAACTGTATACGGGTTTTATGTTTAGGAAATCATGACAACCAAGATGCCGTGGCTGAGTGTGGGGGGCTAGAGCCACTCGTTGAGTTTTTAGAAGTTCCTTCAGGTATGTTGTGCCATTTGTCATTTGTGCTGACAGAAACACTGTTTAAATCACTATTATTTACCATTCACTTCCATTGATACTGACAGAAACACTGTTTAAATCACTATTATTTACCATTCACTTCCATTGATACTGACAGAAAAACATTGATTAAATCAATATTATTTACCATTCACTTCCATTGATACTGACAGAAACACTGTTTAAATCACTATTATTTACCATTCACTTCCATTGATACTGACAGAAACACTGTTTAAATCACTATTATTTACCATTCACGTCCATTGATTCTAATAAACACTGTTTAAATCACTATTATTTACCATTCACTTCCATTGATACTGACAGAAACACTGTTTAAATCACTATTATTTACCATTCACTTCCATTGATACTGACAGAAACACTGTTTAAATCACTATTATTTACCATTCACTTCCATTGATACTGACAGAAACACTGTTTAAATCACTATTATTTACCATTCACTTCCATTGATACTGACAGAAACACTGTTTAAATCACTATTATTTACCATTCACTTCCATTGATACTGACAGAAACACTGTTTAAATCACTATTATTTACCATTCACTTCCATTGATACTGACAGAAACACTGTTTAAATCACTATTATTTACCATTCACTTCCATTGATACTGACAGAAAAACATTGATTAAATCAATATTATTTACCATTCTCTTCCATTGATACTGATATACACTGCTTAAATCACTATTATTTATTATTTACTAAGTTGGCCCGATGACTCTGCCAATTTTACAAGCATCCTTTGTTATCATGTTGATATTCCTAATCTTTCCAACAGAAGATCTTCAAGCTGGGGCAGCAGCAGCTTTAGCAGCTTGCTGTACGAAAAATGTAGAAAACCAAAATGCTGTCATTAATGTAGATGCCCACAAGTAAGGAACTGACCTATTTTAATGTCATCATTGGTGGGCTTTAGTGTCATCATTGGTGGCCTTTAATGTCATCATTGGTGGGTTTTAGTGTCATCATTGGTGGGCTTTAATGTCATTATTGGTGGGCTTTAGTGTCATCATTGGTGGGCTTTAGTGTCATCATTGGTGGGCTTTAGTGTCATCATTGGTGGACTTTAGTGTCATCATTTGTGGGCTTTAATGTCATCATTGGTGGGCTTTAATGTCATCATTGGTGGGCTTTAATGTCATCACTGGTGGGCTTTAATGTCATCACTGGTGGGCTTTAATGTCATCATTGGTGGACTTAAGTGTCATCATTGGTGGGCTTTAGGGTCATCATTGGTGGGCTTTAATGTCAACATTGGTGGGCTTTAATGTCATCATTGGATGGCTAATTACAGTAGTGACCACCCGAATAATGTCATCATTGGTGGGCTTTAATGTCATCATTGGTGGGCCTTAATGTCATCATTTGTGTGCTTTACTGTCGTCATTGGTGGGCTTAAATGTCATCATTGGTGGGCTTTAAATTGGTGGGCTTAAATGTCATCATTGGTGGGCTTAAGTGTCATCATTGGTGGGCTTTATTGTCATCATTGGTGGGCTTTAGTGTCATCATTGGTGGGCTTTAATGTCATCATTGGTGGGCTTTAATGTCATCATTGGTGGGATTTAATGTCATCATTGGTGGGCTTTAATTTGGTGGGCTTTAATGTCATCATTGGTGGGCTTAAGTGTCATCATTGGTGGGCTTTAGTGTCATCATTGGTGGGCTTTAGTGTCATCATTGGTGGGCTTTAATGTCAACATTGGTGGGCTTTAATGTCATCATTGGGGGGTTTTAATGTCATCATTGGTGGGCTTTAATGTCATCATTGGTGGGCTTTAATGTCATCATTGGTGTGCTTTAATGTCATCATTGGTGTGCTTTAATGTCATCATTGGTGGGCTTAAATGTCATCATGCCACCCGAAATTACAGTAGTAACGTGGGCTTTAATGTCATCATTGGTGTGCTTTAATGTCATCATTGGTGTGCTTTAATGTCATCATTGGTGGGCTTAAATGTCATCATTGGTGGGCTTTAATGTCATCATTGGTGGGCTTTAAATTGGTGGGCTTTAATGTCATCATTGGTGGGCTTTAATGTCATCATTTGTGGGCTTTAATGTCATCATTGGTTGGCTTTAATGTCATCATTGTTGGGCTTTAATATTATATTAATGGGCTTTAATGTCATCATTGGTGGGTCATCATTGGTGGGCTTTAATGTCATCATCGGTGGGCTTTAATGTCATCATTGGTGGGCTCAAATTTCAACATTAGGGGCTGTAAAGTCACATTGGAGTCAACATTGTTAGGCTTAAATAAACTTTAATGTATTCATAATAGGGGTCTAATGTCATCATTGGACGGGTCTAATGTCTTCATTGGAGGGGTTTTGAGACAAAAGGCATTGAACAAGATAATCTAACCCCCAAAACAATCTTGATATTTTCTGACGCAATAAATCCAAGTGAATGACATCAATGCCTCTGATTGCAGACCTTTGGTTGAGCTGATTCGTGGCAGTCGTAGCACCACAGTGCAAGTCAAAGCAGCAAGCGCCCTGGAAGCCTTAGCCAGCTTAAATCCATATTGTCAAAAGAAGTTTTTACAGCTAGATGCACCAAAAGCTCTTATTAGACTTTTAAAAGTTGGTAACATTTTTTTTCCCTTATATTCTTAGAGGAGTTTATCCATAATGGACAATAGGTTTACCAATGTCCACGACATTGCTAAATTTTATATTTTAGGCTTTCTAAAACAAAAAGCCGGTGTGATCGTCTTCATGATATAAGTATACATTATTCAGAGCCAAAATCAGTGAGAATTGTAGGCTATATTATATTCTTTTTGCATTTATTATTTTTCTCTAGCTGGACACTTTATATCAGGGGTCTCAAACTCAAATCATCCAGGGGCCGCAGGTGTCAGAGTCTGAGTGAGACTGGGCCGCATCAAGTAGTCCACAAAACAGCGATTACAAATTCAACCTTGAATAATAACAAATAAAACTTTAAGGGTTTCGAGAACTAGGCTTCACTTTCTTCCTCCTACTGCTTGTTGCCAGAGGCCTGACAGCGCAAGTGACTAAGCTGACATGTTCGGAATTTCCCTCACTCGTAAACATTAGCCGCAATTTTAATAGGGATTCTTTAATACTGTGTCAGAGCGCTACGATGTACACAATTATGGTTGTGCTTTACCTACTAAATGACTTTTAAAAATTTTAAATATGTATATATATTATTCGAAGCATGTTTTCTCAAAACCGCACTTTAGCCATGTTTTTCACATAAAATACTACAAATTAAAAACTTTTAGTCCGAATTTAAAATAATTTTTACCATTAAAATCAACGTCCAAATCTATACAAACATAATAAAAATCCAAATTAGACTAGTCGGGGAGATTCGACTGAAACCGTCGCAGAGATTCACATTAAAGATATGAGAATGGGGAAAACATGCGGGCATCATTAACACTAAATTTGCTGTCATGTCGCGGGCCGCAAAATATCATCTTGCAGGCCGCAAATGACCCACGAGTTTGAGACCCCTGCTTTATATCCACATAGCTGGTAGTTAAAAAAAACATGACATCAGTGGCGTAGCGAGGGTGTTTGGCGCCCGGGGACAAGATTCACGCCCGGGGACAAGATCCATTTTAAACGCCCCTTTTTCTTTTTTTCAACTCTCAAACCCATTATTTTCATCTATAAAATAATATCAAAGCACATTTTGGCGCCCCTAACTAGCTGGCGCCCGGGGACATCTGTCCCCCCCTGCCCCCACCACGCTACGCCTCTGCATGACATCTCCCTCCAGTATGGTGACAAATAATGTTATAAGTTGATGGTAAACTCAATAAGTTAGTCAAGATGGATAAAATTTACTTTACTTTGTTAATTTAAAGACACTGTCATTACAACAGCTAGCATATTTAACCTAAGAATTATGTCTAATTACATATAAATTGTTATATTTATCTATTGAGTCAATTTTTTAAATACAATTGCTATTGACCTGTGGAAAAAAAAAAAATAATTAAAAAAATTGATTTTAACTTAGCTTTTTAGCTTGTTTTAAGCTATTTTCATTTAAAAGAGGCTACTGCAGCGAAAGGGGATTATTTATTCATGCTTTCAAAACGATCAAAATGATAAAATAGTTTTCAATTAAATTTATTTTTTTTGGTACAATTTTTTGGGCACTTTTTTGTACAGTTTTTGATCCCACAGTTTGGCACATATCAATATAATAACTATTTTTTTTCCTATTTCCTGTGGCTGATAAATTATTACAAAAAAAATGATCCTAAAATGTTCTTTCCTTTTAGTTTACTTCCCTTGAATGGGATGGGAAGGGTTGCTTAAATTCAAGGACTGTTGTTGTTTAAAGCACATCCCCTTGGCAGCATATTTTCCCAAATATTTTAGCCTCATGGTTTTCAAGATAGTTTTGGCTGTACCAAGGATCTGTCTGAACTTTCACAATATTTTACGTTGTATTTTCTTATATGAATCTCCTCTATGTGACTATCTCTTTCTCTCTTTCCCTATCACTAATTTCTGTTTTTAGACTTTGCGCTTTCAGACTCCACCAAATCCCATCGGTCATTTTGAATGAACCGATTAGCAATAAGTTTGAAAAGAGTAAGATTTTTACCCACTTGAAATTGAAAATATTGAGGTTAAAAAAAAAACATATTGAAAATATTATTTCATTAAAGTAAACTTGCAAAAATATTGACTGAATTATGTCCACAGAATTATTAACTACAGCAGTGATTCCAAAACTTATGAATTTGCTGCCCTGTGTTCCTGTAATGTACTGTAATAAATGACAAATAACATTACCGAATGTAATCTAATTTTAGGTGTTTTAATTTTTACCCCCCTTACCACAAACATTTTGCGAAAATTTAAGAAAATTGTTTGCCATCATCTTAGTCAACTTTAAGTTCTATGACTGTGAAACCTTCGTCTTGTTTAGAATGTCTATGTGGAAGTTCGAGAGCAAGGTGCATGTGCACTCTGGGCACTGGCAGGTAACACAAAGACTCAACAGAAAAACATAGCAGAGAGGATCACTATTACTCACATAATACAGATGTTACTGGAGCCCACAGAGAAGCTTCTCTATGTTGGTAGGTCATTGGCTCTAAAATCTTTGTTTGCAGATCACTGGCTCTAAAATATAAGTTGGTAATAAAGGGGAGACACTGCAGTCAAGTTAAGTTAAAGGAAATGAGCGAAACAAAGTATGGGAAAACCTGAACAAAGAGTGCACCAAAACAATGAATGTGTTGGCAAGAAGCCTTCTTAAGCAAACAAACAAAAGTGAAAACAATATAAAATAAAAATAAACACTTAGCTGCAATGTAGTATCTGAGAGTACAGCAAGAGGAATGTGAAAGTATAAGTTGGTAGGTCATTGGCTCTACTATATATGTTGTAGTGTAAATGTACAAGGTCATCCCATGGAGTTGTTGCTGAGTTTATTTATCATTATTATCCACTAACCAGCTAGTTTAAACATTTTGCCATTTTGAATTGTGAAATTAAGGTCTGTCTGAAAATGAATTATTATTTTAAGTGTTTGAGCGCTCAAAATTTTAAACTACGCTGGTATGAATTTCTTATCTTAGGTAAATTATTGCAGTTTTCGTGAATTTGAAATTTTGTTTATTTTACTTGTGGTAAGATGTAAACCTAACATATTTTCCTGAAATCTCCAGGTTGTATGACGGCTATTGCGCTTGGGTCTGAAAATATTTCCAATCAAAACAAGCTGGCAATGGCTGATGCTTTTTCCCAACTAGTAAGGTTGCTGCGGTCACCAAAAACTTCACAGAAAGTTCTGCATATGGTGATCAAAGTCCTAGGAATTCTGTGTGTCGGTAATATTAACTTACTTATAATTATAAGCATTATTGGTTTATTTTGTACTTACCATTAACATTACTTATTTCATTCAGAAACACTCAAAGTGTCTAAAGAAATCTTTTAAAGTTATAGAAAATCCATGCTTTTATCTCCTTCTCAAAAATTTGAATTTAATCTTGTTTTTTTTTGGGGGGGGGGGGGATTAAGCTATCTAATTTTAGTTTAAAAATAATAATAAAAAAATCAAATTTAATATTACAATTTAAAACTCAAAATCATCAAAGAACATAATCAAATGTGTTTTCCGACTGAAATCTGAAAGTAGGACTGCAATAAATAATGATGGTTTTAAAATGTATTAAATATTTTTTTTTTTACTTCCTCGCTGTAGGTGTTGCTTACAGAAACAACAAGGTTACTCAGGGTAAAATAGCAGATGAGGGTGGCATCCCGGTCCTAGTTCATCACTTAGCAAAGCCACCCAATGAAGAGATCCAGGTGGAGGTGGCCATCACACTTGGCTGTGTTGTCCTCAGCAATAAAGAGAATCAGGAGAAACTAGCAGATGAACCAGGCTTCAAGTTTGACATTCTTTTGAATTTGCTCCGAGCTAAAGATGATGTAATTCATTTCATAAACCCTAACTTAAATATAGTTTGAAATAAAATGTTTCAATGCTAAGGAGATTATTGTAAATTTGATTCATCCATTTCATTTAGCAAGAACAAAATAAACAGCCCACCATTTATTCAATATACTAATATTCCTTAAAAAATTGTATAAATGAGTGATTAATAGATCTCTTTGTGGGTTCAAATAATGTATAAAAATATTCAACAGTATAAATTTCATAAGTCAAATTCTTGAGTACATTGCCACATCTATATTAATATATTTAAAGATTTTAAAACTTATTTCTTTTTTATCCTGACAGGAAATTCGACTCAGAGCCGGAATGGCCCTGACAATATTTGCATTCAACAATACGCCTCAACAGTTTTCTATGCGTGAAGCAGGCGGCATTAAATACAGTGTGTTTGATAAGTTTATCCTGAGTGGTGATGAGTTCTACCAATGTTACGCCGCCTTCCAGGTAAGCCAACTGGACCTCTCGAAATTTTATTTTTTATTCTTCACTAATGGAGGTTACTTTTAGAAAATGTACAATTTTTTTGCAATATTAATTTTGTCATATTTTTACTTCTGCCAAACTAATAGTTGTAGTTGTGTACATCCAGGTGGTTCTCTTTCTTAGCAAGGGTTATCATAGATAAAGATCAAGTAAGCCTAATTAGTTCTGCCAAACTAATAGTTGTAGTTTTGTACTTCCAGGTGGTTGTCTTAGCCAGGGTTATCATAGATAAAGATCAAGTAAGCCTAACCGCTCAAGGCATTATGTTGCTTGTGTCAAAATTAAGTTGTGAAGATGAGAAGGTGGTCGTGTTGGCCTGTAGCCTGCTAGCAGCTCTTTCTCACACCAGAGCTGGTCTCACAGATGCCATGATAACTTGTGGCATTTTGGATCAGTTGGTTCTACAACTAGACTCACCCAATGACATAGTAAGTCTTTTTAGTCACCACTCAATGAGATTGTAAGTCTTTTTGGTTTGTGTCACAATCAAATTCCCTTATGTCACAATTAAATTTCATTGTCAATAATGCTCAAGGCGAAGTGTTTCAAATAGTGACTGATATTTAACTCTCAACATTCACAATAAGAAATATATCTCACAAAAATCGGAAAAAACTTGGAAAATATATCACATGAATATTCAATTACTAACTTCTGGATAATATAATCTTCTTTTACTTGATAAAATATCAACACAATATTAACCTTCATTACAACATCAACGGTCTCTTTTCATTCCTCTCAAAACAAACTCTATTAATCAACTCCCCCGTCCTGATTGGCCAGTTTCTCCCCAAGTCCCAACACTCTGTATATTATATAACAAATATTTACCATATTACTCCCATTAGTATTCATATTTGTGACAGTTATCACCCAATGACACCGTAATTCATATTGGTCACTTTCATTTTCACACCCCTTAAAGTTAGACTCACCCAATGACATTGAAAGTCTCATTGGGCACTTCCTCAATTTGCCCATGTTACTTATCTAAGAATTTAATAAAATTGTTTATGTTTTTATTAAAATACTGTATTTTATGTTTATACATTGTTATTCCTTTTTTTTTTTTGGTTGTAAGTTTTATTTATTTTGCATTGTCTTTGGTCTATATTTAATTATATTTATTTAATAACAATAAAATTTAGTTTGCTTTTTAATGTAAATAACCAAATAATATTTCTTCACAGCAGAGTTATACCGTTGAACTTTTGATGTAAAAATTACTAAAAATAAACAATGTTGAAAATGTTAAGCAACTGTCAAGAGCAACAGTGGGTCTCTTTTTCTGTAACTCAATTTATTTTTCTCCAGGTAAGAAATGGAGCAGCTGTTGCCCTGGGATATTTGACCTTCAACAAAACTGCGTATCGACTCCTTTTTTCTCTTTGTCGAAATGTTCCTAAGTTGTTTGATAAGATTATGAGAAACATTGGAGAAGATCCACGGATATGTGAAGAGTTCATCAATGACTTTAAACGAGCTACAATAATAGGTTTACCAACTCAGTGGTAAGTTGTCCTATCATTACTTTCAGAAAGAATAAAATTAAAAGTTGTTTAAAATGTAATCATGTAAAAAATGATAATTATATGGTAACTTAAAACCTTAATAACAAATTTTTTTACAATTTCAACTTTTCAATCTTCTATCTATGTTTAACCAACTCATTTAACCAATGGTAATCTTTCTAAGAAACTTTTGGCTAAATTATTGAACAATTTGTTCTTTAAATACATTTTATCCTATGATTCCTTTGGTTTTAAGCAATGCAAAAGCCCAAAAAAACCAAAATCTGTTCATGATTTTCAAAATTAGCAGCAAATTAAAATCTTGATCTCTTAGAAACCAATTTAAAACTATGGTCTATCTTATAAAAATTAGGCATACCTCACACATGAAACAATATATATTTTTTGTAGTTTTATTTTAGAATTATTATTTTTTCAATTTTATTGAAAAATTCAACTTACAAAATAATTAACCTTAAAAATAGTATTTTCTGATGGTCAAATTTATACACAGTGCTTAGGAAGAGGGTGTGTTATTTTGTGGACACCTTGTGAAACTTACATAGCATAGGAGCCTGTGCTATCATGACTCCATGGGGTCAAAAAGGAGCAAGTGCTATTATAGCTTCATGTTCTAGAGCAGTGCTGTCCAAATCCGTGGCCCATGGGCCACACCTGATTTTAAATGGCCCACTACAGCGTGAGAGATTTTTAGGATGTGTATGGTATAAAAATTAAAACATTTTCGGTGAAAATAAATTTTCAAACCACATTCATTGATTTAATGCTGTTGGGAAATCACATGAGAAGTTCACATGAACAGGGAAAAGGGGGAGGTCACAAAGTTAAGGAGTCGGATACCTTCACAGGTAGCAGTAATTTATGTTAAGGCTATCAGCAGAGCAATCATTTGGGAACCTGTGTGACATAAAATCAGACACTATCTTCTCCTTCTTTCTGTTGCTTCTACATTGTAGGCGTTACAGGGTGTCAGGTAAAATTACTAATGACATTGGGAAAGATGAATAGAAAAACCAAAATTAAACTTGATATGTAGCTATTTGGTCATTGTAAAAATATCCATGCCACCACCAACGGTCGAATTTAGATGAAATAGATGTGCACTGTGAGTTCACTCTTTCGCTTTGTGGGATGATAATAATATGACAGGAAAGTCTTTGGGTCAGAGTAATTGAGATGGGAGCTGGGGTGCAATAAAGGTGTCACAACTGAATGACTATGGTTGGCAAAATGAGCTATTTATGGAACAGTGTTACCTGTACTTCAAGCAGGTAGTCAAGCCAGGTATGGTAGAGTGTGTCCATCCTGTATTGTTGTGACATTAGGGGAAAGTACCTGGGATTCAGAGATCTAAATATGAGTCGTTCAATGAGTAGAAAGCAGGATACAAGCTGTGTTTGTTTGTAGTCTGTGCAATTCAGTCAAGGGAGAAGGGTGTGAAACAGTAGAAATCATCATCATTAGTGGCGCTACAGCCCATGTAGGGCCCTGGCCTGCTCCACTACATCCTTCCATTCGGAACGATCCATGGCTTTCCGCCTCCATAGTCAAAAAGGTTTGACAGCACTGGTCTAGGGGGAACTTTCGCATACTCTCACTGTCGCTCAAGATTAAAATTGTGCAAATATGAACTGATAGTGTTTTATAAATTCTGTATACCCATTTCAGTTTGGAGATACATGGTGGTCCACCAATTCAAGCAAGAAAAAATCAGAAAAGTAACTTAAGATCTTATTTAAAAGATTTGCCTTAAACTATAGTCTTATTCTTTTTTGAGGAAAGAACTCAAAGATATCATGAATTTTTTCTGATACCAAATGTAAACTAGAATAAGTGCATTTAGAAACAAAAAAAAGTTAAATTTAAATTAAATAACATTTTCTCTACTTGGTCCCAGAGATGGACATTTAAAAATAATAGTTATATGATTATAAAAAAAATTAATTAGTTAAAACTATGTTTTTTCAAAGTATGTAAATTACGCAAATTGAATAACTGAAATTTTAATGAAAATATTGTTAATATATCCAGAACGTCGTCCATGTACAACACAGACAAGCTCAAAGTACCATAAAAATGCCAACAATAGTCGTGCTGTATCAGCCCCTACCACATCCACTAGAAGTAATCCAACCCTCCCAGACATTCATTCAGAGGGAAATTTTGTGCAGGTTTATAAATTGTTGTTGTATACCAGGGACATGCAAAATTTTTTAAAGCTTTTTACAACGCCGGCCTTAGGTATACTTTCACCCTATGCGAAGCACCGGTTAGGTGTCCCCTTCCCTGTCCTTATATGGCTCCACTCTTTTTCCGATTACGACGTAGGCTATGGAGCAGGTGTTATGTTATGATGTTATATATGTAGCTAACCATTTTAACATGCACATTAATTTAGACTGTTTAGTTTTTCTATGGTACTTCATACTTCACTATAATAAACTAAGAGAATTTAAATATTTACTGGGCGCCTCAAGTGCTCCTATGGCCATGGTGCCCTTTGCAAGGGCACAGGTCATACACCCTTAAGGCCGGCGTTGCTTTTTATCAAGGATGTTTCATAATTAATTTAATTATTTACTTTAAAAATTACAATGATATTACTTTATAAAAAAGGTCATAATGATTATGTTAAATTATGTAAAATTTTGTTTGGCCATTTCACATGGTGCTTTTTTTATTTTCCATTACTTATCACAAATAGAAGTTGTTCTCCTTTAAATCTAACTATGATATTTGTGTTGTTGTACTAACATTAATTAGTAGCTGTTAAATTTCACCAACCAACAGTAGGATTTCTCCAACTAACTGGAGGGGTTCTCCAACTAACTGGAGGGGTAATCCATTACTTTCTGTAATTTAAAATCTTATAAGCCATTTCATTTCATAAACTTTTTTCTTTTCAACAGATGTTTTTCATGAACCTATGAAATAATGCATTTAAAATTGATAACACAAAATAACATGACATTTCACTAATAAGCCTACATGCTAATTGAAAGAAGATATTTTTCCTGAATAATATTTCATTGAGAGCCATCCTTGATAGCCACATTCCAATGACCTAATGGGCAAATAGGCTACTGACCCAATGGGCTATGCTTTCCATTGGCTACATTTAAATTAAGACTCTGTATTATGATTATACTATTACAATTAGGAAACAAAGAGTTTTTGTTTTTTTTTATTCTAGAGAACTTCAGCAGTTCAGAGGTCAACATCATCATCAACTGGTTTTTCCAGCAAGGCTGGGAGTATCAAAGTCAAATCTAAAGATGGAAACAGTGAAAAATGAGGCCATCTTGAACTATTTACATTACATGGGTTTAAAATGTTATTGAGAATGTGTGCCGAGTGCAAAAAATTTTGATTTTATTTTTTACTTCAATAAAATATAATTTCAATGAAATATTAAAATTAAGCAAATATGTTATAATTTATTTATTTTCATTAAACATTTTTTTTTATTTATGATGTTAAGTCCCATTATATGTGATACCAGCAAAAGATATAAAAAAAAAGTGTTGTATACTATTTAAATACTATTTTTAAAAAAAACAACTTTTTACACACTTTGGAAAAAAATATACTTATCTATATTTAAGCACTTTCATAAAGTATAACTTCCAGTGTAAAGTTATAGCCCTAAAGCTTTTTAATTAAGATAGATTTAATATGTTAGTTGAACAATAATATTTCCTTGATGAAAATTTTACTCCATAAAGGTTTATATATGAAGATATGTGTGTGTATATTAATATAACAAATGTATGTTTGAGCATATCTGAAAAGCTATTTCTAAATTATATCATAGTGATAATGTCATATTATTTTTAAAATAATGTGAGGTGGCATATTAACCATAATAAAATACTTTCACCTCAATTAACGTTTCCTAATTTAAAGGTTGGGGCTTGTCATTAGGTGAATCTGTGAAAAAATTAAATAAGTGATAAATTAGTAAATCTAATTTATGATATGAAATAGGACGCTGAATGTCTCATCATGTAAAGTTTTCAGAAGGTCTGTTTGTTTTATCTTCTTTGAAGAATCAGCTTCCTTATGTCTTTGCTAACTAAAATTTCATAGACTGCTCAGTCTTGCCAAACATTTTATCGTTTAAAATTTGATGGTTTTCAATTGGTGTGTCAGAAATGTCAAAGCTTGCTTTTTAAAAAATCAAAACAGTGAAGTAAATCTTGCATATTCAAAACAAAAGAGGAGGAAAATGTTACATTTTTTGTATGATGCTAATAAAGAAAAGGTTGGTTCTACAATTACATGTTAAAAATGATTTAAGTCTTTATCTGAGGAGTACTTTATCTGAGGAGTGTTAGTAGACAGTACTTATTATACAATTGTCATTCCATTTATTTGACTTCCTTGATAAAAGTTTGTCAATTATGACTGAAGACTGGATTTGATGGTTTTTTTTTAATCATACAAAAAAAAAATTATTCAGAAAACAAATAATTTACAAGGGGAGGCAGTTTGGAAAATAATGTGCTTTAATTATAGAAGCTGGATTATTTAAGCTGTGATATTTTTGTGTTTTATAAAATGCCTTTACAACTGTGATATTATTTAGAGATTAATTTATTTGCATTTTGAAACTGTACATCTTTAATATGATTTCATAATATATTTTCCGCAAATAATTATTTTGAAAAAATATATGAAAAATAAAATCCCTGTATGCTATAATAATACAATTTTACACTTTTAAATTAAATTTCATTAATACAGCTTTATTCTTTAGGTAAAGTATATTCTGATAAATTTATATTGTTTTTAAACATTAAAGTTAAAGCTCTGAACAAAAAAAATAAGCATCAGAAACATTTCATTTTCTAAAATATGTAGTTGCTATACATCAGTGGTTCCAAACCCATCACAGCAAAAGGTTTTTAAGACGGTTGATCCTGGTGCTCTTGAAGCATAACAAACATCATCTACAAATTTTCATTTTATTATTATCATAGTGTGTCTTGTTACTTTGAGTTATTTCATGTGTCCCTTTAATTAAAAAAAAGCCCTTTCAATGTTTCATGCTAAATTTTTTTAGATTCCCTGGTGTACAAATATGTTATGCCCTAATTTAATTTTGAGCTGGAAACAATTTTCAGCATAACACACTAAAAGCATCATAATTTGCTTCAAATATTTAACAAGAATTAAGGTCTGATATATGAATAAATGAATATATCAAAATAAAATCTACAATATTATTGATGACGTCTACAATAAAATATCTTACAGTTTAAAATGTTTTGAACAATAAATGAATATTTTTAAACAGGTCTTTTCTTTTATTAATGCTAGTTATTTGGAATATTCTGAGAAGTGCAATTAAAAATGGTTTTAGGTTAAAATAAATTGTGGATTGTGGACAAAGATAGTAGTGTGACCTTCTAAACTATGAGGAATAACTCCTAAGCCTAATGGCATGCTTGAACAGAATTAATTTTTTTATATAAATTAGAGGTTAATAATTGAATTCAAACTAAAACACCTTTAATCAGAAAAAAGGACGTCCGATACTTTATAAAGATATAAAGACCTGTAAAAAAAAAAAAAACAAAAAAAAAAAAAAAAAAAAAAAAAAAAAAAACAAAAAACGATAATTTATAAAGTTATAAAGACCTGTAAAAAAAAAAAAACCAAAAAAAAAAAAAACCAACAAAACTAGTGACTTATAGGCCTACTTATAACTTTAAATATATACTAAAGTTCTTGAAATGTAGTCATTGTAGCATATATTGAAATAAAGTACAATACTCATGAAAAAAACAATAATTTGATATTCAATCAGTGACAGTGGGTTCCGTGACAAACGGATAGACTCTACACGAATAATCGCCTACATGAAAAAAAATGCGCAGGCGAAAATTGCACATACCACAACAAATACGTAGGCTACACGGAAAATCGCGCACACAGACTATTGAGATCATTGTCACTATCGAACACAGACAATATGCAACTTTTAAAGCCATTAAAAAGTTTAGATGGTTCAGTTGGTTATCAGGCTAAAAGTAAACGACATGTTATAAGAGGCGAGGATTAGGATAAATCCCTTTAAAGACGAAATATATATATTTTTAAAAAAGGGCTATCTTATGTCTGATTTTTAAAGTTCAAAGCTACACACAAAATTGACAAATATAATTTTAGTATTCAAAAGCGTAAAATCTATAATGTAATTCGCCAGCAAAGGACTGACACCACCACCACGCAGGCTATATATAGATAGCCCAGAGTGTGGTTAAATAATGAGTTCACTAGCGCACAAAATATAATTCCCGATAATTACGCTAAATATGATATATATATATATTTTAGTACGGTAACGCAATTGCGTTTGGTGCGTAATATTTTCTTTTCGGAAATGAAATTGTCTCAAATTAAGTATTGTGTAAAGAATAATCGGTTTAAAAGTGGTTGGGACATGAGAATATACATTAGTTCATGGGCGTGAAAAAAAAAAAGTGTGCAGTGATGTATCATGAAAAAAAAAAGGGGGGGGGGGGGGAGGGGGGTAGTAAAATTGGCATTCTTAATGTGCGTAACTTGAGTTCACGTTTTTGTCAATTAACTTTATTCATGGGCGTGAAAAAAAAAAAGTGTGCAGTGATGTATCATGAAAAAAAAAAGGGGGGGGGGGTGAAGGGGGGTAGTAAAATTGGCATTCTTAATGTGCGTAACTTGAGTTCACGTTTTTGTCAAGTAACTTTAGTAGATGAGAAGTTCACACATTGCTATCGTCAATGTTTGGCGGGCTCCATCTAAATCTAGTGAGATATATTTCTGCAAAATTTATATTTGGCAAAGAAGATATATAGGCCTATATTAGCCTATATATATATATTAGCCTATACCTATATATAAATAAAATATATGAATATATTTGGAAATTGACCATTGACAGTAATTTAATTGCGGCAGTAATTCTCCTACAATGCCTACAAACGATATTTCAAACATTATGTATGAATGTATGATGAAGAAAACTCTACACTTCATAATAGTACTGAGGGTTTAAATTGTAATCAGAAAAATGACGCCAGTAATAAAATTGTTAATTATTACTGTCGTGGACGACGTGGAACTGGAACACCCCATCCATGTAGCCATGACTAAGACTAGTCTATTGTCTATTGACTATTTTTTTAGTGCGACCGAAAACTCGCTTTTTCCCAACTGTTAACAAAATACAACGGAGAGGAAGATATTAATTTGTGTACACTTTAGTCTCTCTTGGCCCATTAAGATTAACGTGCTTTGTCGGTTATTATTAATTATACATTTAATGTATATTTATTTGACAGACTCCAAAGTTTAGTAATGAAAATAATATAAGGTTAATTAAGGTATACAATTTTACAGTCACTTCCCCTGAATGCATTATTGATGAAAACAAAATGGCTGACCCGAGCGTGGAAGAGTTAAAAAAGGCTATTAAAAGTAAGTTTTTATCTTATTCATGGTCATACTTCAGTTGAGTAATATTAGATGAAATAAAGATAAGTATAAATATTAGCGAAAATATTTATTCATTCAAAACATATATGATCAATATTCACCAATAAGCGACATCAACATGAGACTCCGATCCGATGGCGATTCTCAGGTCTCAGATTCAAAATAAATTGATTATATTAATATTATTATTAGTATTAGGCCCAAAGGCCTAAGCCTAATGAATAATAAAGATGAAGTAATCAGTCATTCAAAGCTATTACACTATTTTAGGCCTATATTACTATAGTTTTAATACTGATGTCTGATGTACATTTTAATTTTAAACCCAAATAAAATAAATTCCTAAATTGAAAAAAAAAATGTATTAAAATTATTACTTATTAATTAAATTATTAGTGAATGGATAGTGAGCCTATTTTGAGACTAGAGGAAGGGTCAAACAATAACTTGAAGAGGCTCACACTTTGTCAATAGTCAATAGTGTGGCCATGGCAGGTTAGTGTCATCATATTGTGGGGATCATATCAATTAGACCAGAGCTCAACTAGTGTACAGTGGAGTGGTTTAATTTATCCACCAAGGGGGATGAAAAACTTATGAAGTAAAGGCGATATGTATAAAGTTTTAGCCAAAGGGGAAAATGTGTCAGCTTAAGCTTTACAACTAATCCCAAGTTTCTGTGTATAAATAAACTTAATAAACTTCCCTTGTTTTGTCCTTAAGTCTTAAGAGTTAACTTTTCCTTTTTTGATGTTAATTCGCAAATGGAATGATTGTAAAATTAAAATTTAATAGTGTAGTTTAGTTAGATCTAATTATAATATTTCAAAATAGGCAATTTTAGCTGGTCTGATCATTTTGACAAATGGATGTTGACTTTTCTGACATATTTTGAAAACTTTTTTCGGTGGGGAAGCATTATCCGCACAGCTGTGCGAATAATGCCAAGCACTTTTATATTTTACCTAGTCCAGAAATTTTGTGTTAGAAATAGTTACAGGGCCATGCCGTGCAACAGTGTTATGCAGAGAGGTGGCTGCATGAGGCGGCCATGTGAGAGATGGGGAGGGGCTGTGGCATATTATATTACATTGAAATATAACATAATTGAAACGGCAGCGCGTTGGACTAGCCCAGTGGTTGGCAAACTCATAGGTCAAAAGAGCCAAAAACCATCAGCAGGACGATTAAAAAAATGTTGAGAGCCACATTGCTTTTCAAGAACCTGTCAAGAGCCATGTTTTTCGGAGTCAAAACTGATTTGTGGCCGACTGGCCAAGCCGCACTCGGGTCACTATAAAGCCACATGCGGCTTGTGAGCCACGGTTTTCCGACCACTGGACTAGCCTACCAAGGGTCTCAGAATTTAATCCTGGTGAAGGCTAGGATTTTTTCCTGTTTCTTGATGGTTTCGATGAGTCTACCAAATGGATGTTACATTCTATGAATGGAATTATTAGGACCAGCAGCTGTGCTTTAACCAATACATTTAATTATCTGATCATCCTGAAACTGGTATTGATTCGATAATAGTAGATTTTTAATTTTAAGTCAAGAAATAATTAATTAGACTAAGACTTTTTTATTTTAGACTTTGAAATTGATTTTTCTTGTTCAGCTAGCCAAGAACAATCGTCTAAATAAAAGAAAAGCATTTTGTTCAATCAAAACTTTATTTGCAAACTAATTTTAGTTTAACATAAATATTGAATAATATGTAACATCACAAGTACGTATCATGAATAATATGTAACATCATAAGAACATATCACTTTTCTAAGAAAAAAATATGAAAAAAGTATTAGCTTCAAAATAGTGGAAAAAAATGTGAAAATTTATTAATTAAATTATATACTGGTTAATTTTTAAAAAAATGTTATAGCATAGGCAATATTTTGAAAATATAAGTGTAAATGTAAACAAATTTAAGGTTCATTTTGATAATTTAAAAAAGAAATGACGGAAATTACGCGACCAGCCTCGAATCTGCACACCGAAATCTTCGAATAACAGCAAGCATATTCGCACAGCTGTGCGAATAATTACTTTGTTTTCGGTAGAACTTGATATAAAGTGTATTAAAGTGTATTCAATGAAGCTGTAAGTTGGGTTTTCATTATTTTAATTATTTTTATTGTTTTTCTTCATTTTTACACATTTCTCACCACAATGTGTAACTGTAGCACACATGTTTTAGTTAAGGAAAGGGGGGGGGGGGGTTTGCAGGTCATTTACATTGGAAATCCCCTCTACACGCATAGGAGCCAAAATGATCAATAAATTGATCGGGGCCTTAATATATAGAAGAAGAAGAAGGTCATTGACACTCCTTGCAGCATATCTATAGAGATACAATAAAGCATAAAAACTGGATACAAGCAGTTGTGTAAATAAAATTAAAAAATGAAGATAGTGAAAAGACAGTTTAAACAAGATATTTTCCTTATATTTTTGCTGTATTGATATTCCCTCTTAGAAGGAATTTTAAAAACATTTACTGTTTTGGTAAGTGTAAGCAAAATTAAGCCTGTTAGTTTTGTGCTTTCTTGTTTGATTTTGTTGTGCCATAAATATCTGTGAAGAGTTTTGGTGTACAGTAAGGGAAAAAAGGTTTTGGAGCACTTAATTAGACCATGCTATTCAATTTCATATTAGTCCCAAGGCCCTGTCAGATCAGCATTTGGTAATATTTTATATTTGAACTTCATATTCTGAATGAAAGACTCTATAACTATAAGGCCTAACAGTAGTTTACATATTGTACCTAACCAACAAAGCCAAGAGATCCAACGATGTGAAAAAGGGAACAAAGTTAACTTGAGTTACATTTTAATTATTAAGGTCTAGACTTATTAATAGGTGTCTACTTACAAAATCCTCACTAAACTAATAGCAAGTAAACAGGAAAGGTAATGTGAACAGATCCTAGACTATCAATGTGGATTCCAACAGAAAATATCAACCACAGATCATATTTTTATTATGAGATGTCTCCTGGAGCAATGCTACGAATACATTCAACATACACCAACTATATGTGGACTGCAAAACAGCCATAGATAGCATAGACTGGGAATATCTGTGTGATGCACTGTGGGAACTTGGGAGTCTCTAACAAACATACCCGGCTTATAAATATGACGATGGCTAAGTTCGAAAGTTGAATCTAATTTAAAATACCAGAGGGAGTAATGATGAATCTGTGTCTCATATAAGGAGACTCACTATCATGTAACCTGTTAAACTTCACATTAGAAAAAGTTATTTACATACATGTGAGCACCAGTGTTGCCATCACAAACTATTTTCATAGAAGCCCCAGACTAGGGTTTTTGTTGTGCTAACTGTGAGGTAGTGGCGGTTGGAGCTGATCTGACAAATAGTGGTGTATAACGAGAGACATGTTGTTAGACAGAATATAACCAAGATTCCTAGCGGAGAATGTAAACTGTATGTCTGAGTTACCTACATGAAATGAAGTGGGGAGAGCTGAGTTAGAGAATGATTGTGATTGTGAATAAGGAGTGCTTCCGTTTTGTCATCATTAAGCTTCAACTTGCTGAGTGTCATCCATGTCTTGACATCATCAATGCTCTCCCGAAACCAACAGGGGGTGAGGATGGGCTTCAATGAACACGACGTAGGTTTAGACTTCAGAATAACATTTTTGACCTCTTGTTCTGAAACCGGTTTAAAAACTTGAAAATGTGAACTAACACAAGAACAAGGGGAGGCAAATCTAGGGGTGATATTATGTCAAGACGATCAAGCTCAGCGCAAAAAGTCAGCAACTTTGCTTGTAAAGAGATTACAGAAAATATCGGCAACGGATACACTGAAGGAAGAGCAATTCCTGTGTTACTCCCTCTGAGGTGGCTACAAACATCGAACAACTGCCTGCCAGTTTTACCCATTATTATCTTTTGGCTAAAATACCAAGTCTTAGCATGACAAAAAATCTTGGTCACCCGCTTGTTGGCAGCATAATACAATACATCTGTCCAAACAAGATCTGACCACAGCCACTTCTTTTCCACACTGCGCCGCTCTTTCTTGACACATGTGTGATGATCAAAGCTACTTTTTTTTTTTCCCTGCCTATTTGGACTTATCATTTGTTATTTTTTTCAACTTCAGATATTCTCAAAGGAGCAGACCTTGACAGTCTTTCTGCCAAAAAGGTCAGAAAAATGCTTGAGGAAAAATATGAGGCGGATTTCTCAAATAGGTAATAAAATTTACTACTTTAAATAAGCTTTAAGTGGGTTGTCACAAATCTGTTTGCCAGTTTAAACAAAAAATAATTTTTTATAACATATTTAAACATATAGTTTATTAACAAAATTAACTCCTTATAAGCTGTTGGGTTTTTGATGAAACATAAAGCTAACAGGAAAAACATTAGACCAGGCAACCGGGCAAACATAGTCACTGACTTCAATATAAAATATTCCTGGTTGTTAAAATTATTAGTCTGTCTTGTGATTTTTCTTTACTCTTTTAGACACAAGATTAATTATTTTTTTTGCAGAAGAAAAGAAATTGATAAACTAGTGATGAAAATGATAGAGGAGGATGAAAGTGATGAAGAGACAGAAAAGAAAGAGCCAAATAAAAAAGAATCTGATGAAGAAGAAGAAGAAGAAAAAGAAGATGACGAGAATGGTGTGGGAGATGGAAGTGATGCAGATTCAAAAGAAGAAGTGGGTGACATTTTGTTTCTTTCACTGATTAGTTTAGGTTTTAGTAAGCATTACATAATATTAATGAGACTCTTTCTAGATATTGTCATGCATGCTTATCATTAATTCTATTTTCAGGTGCCAAAGAAAAAAGCCAAGAAGTCCCCACCTTCTTCATCAAGTGCAAAACCAAAGGTATTATACATTTTATACAGTTTAGATCAACATTGTCCAAAAACCGGTGCTGCAAAAGCAAAACTACCTGGTCATGAAAAAATTTCATAAAACAAAGCTAGGTATGTGTATTGTCCCCACCCCCCCCCCCCATCGGCATTGATTTGGAACTATCAAGTTTAAAGTTGAGATATTTTATACTTGAAATAAATCAATACAATCATGAAGAGCCAGTTTGGAAGGTATCTAAACCTTAGAGTATGTCCAACCAATAAGGACACAGGCAGATGGGTCCATCATATCAGATCAGTTGTTGAGCAGCGCCTTTAGGGTTGAAAGTGGTTTCTTCTATTTCCTTTAAGTGTCCAAACATGCATGGAAGGATGGTAAAGGGGAACTGAGGTTGAGCTGTTTTAATACTATATTACTGTCGTGTCCCCCCCTCCCCCCACATAGACGTGGAAACAAAACCCTGCATGTGTTAATAAATTGGATATGAGAATACAGTCAATCTTTTTTCTACAAACCTGCATTTTAAAAAAAAAAAACTGCGTCACTCTTCTCTTTCATATGGTACATTATTTACCAGGTTTTTGTTAGATTTCTTTAAATTTGTTTAAATGCCTTATTATTTGAATATATAAAAACTCTACACATTTAAATCTGATTTATCTTACATATAGGCCAGATATGCTATAAAAAGTTAAGTAGGCTTTGATAAAAAGTGTTCAGGAAACACTGGTTTGTAAGTACAGACCAACTGTTTTTGTACAATAAACTGTTTGGATGATCAAGTATAGAGCCAAAGGTTTTTGTACAATAAACTGTTTGGATGATCAAGTATAGAGCCAAAGGTTTTTGTACATTATACTGTATAGATCAGAGCTTTCAAAACTTTGATTGTGGTGAAATACTTTAGACCATGGGTCGGCAAACCGGGGTAAATTACCCCAAAGGGTGTCGAAATAAAAATTTCAGGGGTGATGAGGGCTCATCAGAAATACATTAAAAAAAATTTTAAAGCACGCCCAGTGTTGCGACATGATTTTTTTTCTGACAACATGGCATCTGGCCAGTGTAATAGAGAAACACGCCCATCGTCTTGTGTTTAGCAACTGTGCAAGAGCTAGCAAAATCATATTTTTTGTCTTATTCTCAAAGAAATTAAGAGCTGCAAAGACTTCCATTGAAAGGCAGTCAAAAATTTAAACAACCTACCTCTGCCAGCAAGGATTTTTGAATCAAAGACAAGAAATCGATTATAAGACAGTATCCAAAATACTCTGATGTCACAAAGACCCAATTTTGATCCATGAAAAATAAAACAGTATAATTTCTCCCGTATCTTTTAAGGCCAATGTTTTCAATGAAATCATATTGTTCCATATTGGATATTATTAGTTTATTTTATAAATTTTATATTCATTATTGTATTCTCTGTATAAATGCATCAAACTCATTTTCCATTTAATTAGTTACTATATCTCACTACAGACCGTTCTGTTCAACTGTTCTTTCACATTAGGCTCAGCATTTTTCTTACGGAGTGCGCTCTTTTGAAGCGAAGGCGCCAAAATTATGGAACAGTTTGCCTCAGTCTTTGAGGGGAATTGAAAATGATAAAAAATCATTTAAGAAACATTTTAAAACTTTTTTGTTTAAATAGATTTCGGAAAACCAGATTGCAGTGAGCATGCTAAAGTGCCATGGATAACAGCGCCATATAAATATCAAAAGCAATTGATCAAACTTCACATGATTTTTTTATTTCTACGTTAGAAATATCTTCTTTTTACAGATTTTCATCACCAATTTAATGAATACGCTCCAACAATTTATTATCAATCTTTTAATTAAAAAAGAATTAGTACAGATAACAAAATGATGGGATAATAAATATTTAAATTTTACACATATTGCATTTTAAAAATTTTCTTTGAAGCCTCTTTAACAAAACGGTTTCACTTAAACATATGCAATATCGTTGAGGAGTTAATCTTGATCTCATTCACATCATTTAGAAAAGGAAGTCGGCAACCAAAGCAGATGACAGTGAAGATCCAGTGATGTCCAGCATCAAGCAGGTGGGCCAGTTATCATCAGTTGTCATGTTTTGCTAGATTTTATGATAGCAACTATGATTTTTCTTATTTGAAATCTTATTTTGTTTTAAGCATTTGAATTTTTTGGATTAAATTGGAGATGTTTGTGAAATTTATCCTTTTGTTATTGTAACACTCACATTTTTGGCCCGTGTTATTTAAATTATTTTTTCATGAATTTGGCCAAAGTTGTATTTAATGTATCAACCTAATGGAACAGGTATTTATGAATTCAGCAGAAGTGGTATTACAATTATAAACCTAAGTATACTTATGAATTTGGCAGAAGTTGTGTTACAATGATCAACCTAAGTACACTTATGAATTTGGCAGAAGTTGTACTGGGTGTTTCAATGTACCCGGTATCGACATAGGTAAACTTATGAATATGGGATTGAAGTTGTATTTCAATGTATCAACCCAAGTAAACTAGTTCAAGAGAATTTATTGATATTTACAGACTTAAAATGATATTAAAATAAAAATATAAATTTTTTGTTTGAGGTAGAGTCACTTAACCATCAGTTTTATCTATTGTTTGGCAGATGGATGATGAGGATCTGGCTAAAAAACTACAGGAGGAAGAAACTGGTCTCAGGAGACGACGAGCAGCAGCTGTATGAGTTTTCTCCCCCTTGACATCTATTTACCATTTAAATCCTCAAGCATTTAAGTTGTAGAACATATTGTATTTTTTTTTACACTTGTAGAAAATATGGAATAGTTGAAAATTCATTATAAGAACTGTATAAATTTTTATTTTGTTGGGATGAAATTCTTTATTTACCGGTAATTCTAAGTAGTAGTTGTAATTGTTTATTGATAACAAAATATTTGCATTTCATCTTGAATTTCTAACTTTTTTTATTAGCCTAAGCCAAGAAAGGAGCGTGAAAAGGATCCGGATAAGAAAAAGAAAAGTAGGTATTCATCAATTGAAGAATAGCAATAACAAGTATCAATGTTTGTCAATGTCTTAACACTGATTGTCTTTCAAAGATGATATTCATTGCATTAATTGTTCTCTTCGTTACCTGTAAATGTTGATTCACTTGTTAGCAATCGACTTCTTTGTGTGAATTCTTATTAATCACATTTCAGTTTTTACATAGTTGAATAATTTAGATGTTAGTTTAAACATTTACTTTCAATGCTTTCTCTTATCTTAATTATAAACATAGTGATGCCCTGCTAAACATTTAGTAAGGTGTTTTAAGGAATGACAAGAACCAAAAAAAAATTAATAAACTTGTTACTTTGAAGCTGTTTTTAAGTTTCTTCTGAACAATTGACAGTTCTGAATCATCTTTTTCTTTGTCTGCTTCTTGCCTTTATTCGTCATGCACTAACTTTTTAATGCAGCTTTTTTAAAAAGAATTAAGTATATTGAGCTTCTATATTCACTGCTTTAGTGGAAGTACATCATGGCATTCAACATTAATTATTCTGTTTAGTACTACATTCATACAATATGAAACAGATATTGAAGTTATTGCAGACAGAAAAATGTGTAATTTGGGAAGATTTTATTCAATATAATTTAGTTAATGAGGTGAATGATGACCATTTGAGAATTGTTTTAACTTTTTTTTTTTTTTATATTGCCATAAAACTTATAATTCCATTTGTGATGTATGTATTCTTAAAAAATTGTACAGTGTTGACATTATTTTAACTTGAAGAGAATGAGACAGCATTCCTTGAAATTTTATTGCATGAGATCATAATAATAAACTGCATTTCAAACATTAAATAGAAATAATGTAGTTATTTTTATTTATTAATTCAATTAATAAGTGCATGCAATCATGATCAATTAATGTAACCTTATTCTAAGAAATAATTTTTTTTTCTCCTCTTCAATAGACAAAAACAGATCTTAATTTTTTTCAAACTGGCAGTTCAACCCCCATAGTGTTAAATACTTATCAATTAACTTTTTATGTTGTTCTCGTTGTTAACATACTTTGGGGCATGCATACAATAATTGATGTCACTTAACAGAAACTTAAAATACATAGAGCATGCAAAGAGATCATAACATGATGTACTTTGTTTTAATTTTTTTAAAAAGCTTCAAATGATAAAGTGCGGCAAGATATACAAAGAAGAAATGATTACAATTACACTACTTAAGCACTGTTTAAAAAAAATAAAAGTGGTGGGGGGGGGGGCACATGCTGTGGTTCAAATTTTTTATAACATAATACTGAATTTTGTTAATTTGGTTACATTTTTTTAATGTGGTGAGCAGGGCGTTCTGGTTGGTCATCTGTTTCACCATACACATTCATGTTTTTGTTTCTTTAATCAGCTTCACTCTACAGTCGTCCATGCCAATTGTCAGATCTGTTAGCAGCTGTTGTGGGGAAAAATGAGGTTTGTTGGTGTTTACTGATCTAATGCTTACAACTTACTACCAAGAGATGCTGTGCAAAAACACTCAATCGCTGACCCAGAGGACTTTACAATTTTAAGTAAAAATTCAACAGTTTAGATCATTCCTTTGTTGAAAATTAATTGATAAGAACTAAGTTAAGATTTATGTAGAGATGTTGCTGTTGGCAAGAACAAAATGATTCGCAAAGGTGTGATCCTACTGATAGTTGAACATACAAAATGATATGAAGTAACAGTCCTCAGTTTTGTCGTATGAGTGTACAGTGCCTGCTGGTAATCTTGTTCTTCTAAATTCTGCTTTGTGTACACTGTTTTACTTGTTTTATTATTATAACTGTTGTTTTGGTTTTTTACTTGGTCATCATTCACCATTGTTGTGCTGAACACTTTGATCTCTACTTTTGTTGATTTCTTCTTTAATTTTTTTTTCTTTGTGAGTCTCTGTTTAGACCTTATACCATTTAAAATTAACACATCACTGATCTACACATCCATGCACATTTACTAATGACGTTGGGATTAAGATATGGTATATGTGCATGGAGAGAAGAAAAGGAAATTGATCATTTGGATTTCACAGATGTTTACATTTATGCATTAAGTATCTGGTTAACTTGTATGTTTTCTTTAAAATGGTACCATTATTTACATCACTTCAAGTTGTTTTTTTTTTTAACATTTGCTTTCCAAAATAAACCTTTTATTGTTCTGCACCTTAAAAAAGCAAACAAATATCTTGAAAAGAATAAATGCTTAGACAAGGGAGAAATAATTTATTGGATTTTCTTGGGCATGTTCTTTGTTTTCTAATAAGTTGATGGGTTCTTTGACTTTTTAGACCATATTAAATAAATGTGATATTTTGTCTAGAGATTAAAAAACTATTGTACTTTAAAAAATATTCTGTTGGAGCCATTAATTATGAGCATTATTGACACTAATATATCAATATATCTGTCATTAAAATGTTAAATACCCTGTTATTCTAGATGCCAAGACCAGACGTTGTGAAGACTTTGTGGTCGATAGTGAAGGAGAGGAATCTTCAGGTAGTTTTTTGAATACCCTTTTTTTAAAAATTTTTTTTTTGTACATAGTTTTGTTATTGAGACAATACCCAAGTGTGTGAATTTTGAGTAACCGTTTGGTATTCATATTTTCTCATGTTTTTGTCATTGTATTTACAAAACCTATATTTGTCAATGGAGAGAGCGGGCATCTTAATTTAGTGTATTTGATGTAATCCCTCAGTGTCTTTGTAAGCCATAAACAAAGCATGACACTACCTATGCTTGTTGAATCAAGACTATAAAGTGTAGAGCTTATGTACTTTCCTTGTTATTTCACTCAGGATCCGGCCAATAAACAGTTTATGTTGTGTGATGCACAGATGGAAGCACTTTTTGGTAGGTCTCTTAGACAGGTTAGGTGCATTAGTGCCTCATAACTCTTTGTTGGTGTTAAATTGACTTCTTTCATTTAAAGTAGTGAGCGTTGTAAAGGATAAATTATATCATTATCACTTTCCTTGATCTGGGGAAGAAGTCTCATCCAACAGCATAATATTATTAATTATTTTGGTGCTTTGTAGTTATTTTTAATTTTTAACTTATCTCCCTTATCAAAGGACATGTAAACCCAAAATTTGAATGAAAGAACTAAAAATGTATTTTTGTATATTGTAGTTTTCCCACATTGTCCATTGAACAGGTAGCAAGAGAGTCAAGTTGTTTGGCATGATGAAGTATCTAAAGAAACATATAACAGATCTCCCTCGCTAACAGCAACCCGATGTTACATCCCGGAAGTTCTTCTGTTAATTTTACCTTTTTTTAGTACCGTAACCAAAATTTATTTCAAAACAAAATAAGTACATCCATATTGAAACAATCAAATTTTTGTCTATGATGAAGATCCCAACTAAATCCAAGCCTAAAACAGCATCCTATTGAGTCTGTGGTTGTTTGTAACTATCTTGGTTGGAGTCATAAGACAATGTATAAGAAACCTCTGTCCTGTTGACAGTATGCACGGTTGGAGAACTTGTTTTAAAGTGGGCACACATTGCAATGAACATGGGAAAAGTACAACGTCCAACTGATGAATGACACTATTTTCTTTTTCTACTGACCTTATTTTAAACATTGATTCTTTTGACAATATTCTCAATAGCCACGTGTTGTGGGTGTTCTGGTAGTGACAGATACATTTGAAATTCACTTGATATTGTGCATGTTAACACTGTAGTCTGTAAGACTTTAAATGAAATGGCATTTTTTACTTTTCTAAAACCTTTGTTTGGAACATCACTGTTAACAAAGTTGACCTAAGATAGGCTTGCAGCAAGATCTTACGTCATATCACTGTTAACGAAGTTGACCTAAGATAGGTTTGCAGTAAAATCTTATTTCATATCACTGTTAACAAAGTTGACCTAAGATAGGCTTGCAGTAAAATCTTATTTCATATCACTGTTAACAAAGTTGACCTAAGACAGGTTTGCAGTAAAATCTTATTTCATATCACTGTTAACAAAGTTGACCTAAGATAGGTTTGCAGCCAGGTCTTAAATCAGAAGTTGTTCTAGTTTTACAGGAAATTGTAAAAAGTCCTCCTCCTCACTGTAAGTTTTGCCAGGGCAATACCATTCAACTATCATAAATATGTTTCCTTTATATCTGGTACACAATATGACTGCAATATAGAGTAGGTGACACCTTATTTAAAATATAACAATGGAAGCAGTTGGAAAAGACAATGTTATTCTGATATTTTCTGAGATCATGAAGCACTAGATCTAATTAGACCAACTCATAAGAAACTGTTAGATTGCATGACAGTGTTTCCCAACCTTTTCTATACATTGCCCCCATACCAATTATTGGGCTTTGCCCCCTTACCAATTATTGGACTAGTCACGCATCCCTTACAAAAGTACCAATTCATTCTTAAATTTGAAAACAATGGACTTCATTTACAGAATGTCATAGAGAACTGTGGAACTTTTGACTTTATTACCGGTACATAAAGGAAATGATTAAAGAAGAAATTTTTTAAAATACCAGTATATAAAAATTTAAAGATCGAAATGTTTCAAAATCTTAACGTCTCATCTCTTCTTAAATCCCTTCACACCTCCTGGAACTATTTACCGCATCCCCTAGGTGAGAGCACCCCAGGTTGGGAAACCCTGTGCTAGAGTATTATCATTCTTGTATCATGTCTCCTAATCATTTATTCCATTTGTATCCATCATTTTTTTTCATTGATTTTTATACTTCTATTTCTATGGTCTTGGTAATAATGCATTATATTTAGTTGATAAGATCAATTTTTTTGTCAGCTCCATTCAAAACATTCATTTGTACTATTTCATATATATAATGTCATTATTAAGATGAATTGTGTACGGTACCTATGCTAAAATTTAGTTGACTTTTTTTAATGCATCCATTTTCTAGATAGACATTGTCTCAGTGATTTTTTGTTCTATGCATATTTACTTTTTATTTCAGCCATTTAAAATGAACATAAATTTAAGTTAATTGTTAATTCAATAAGACTAAGAGCAAGCAATGTCCTAAAGGGAGCTAATACATCCTATTTTTTTTTGGTGTGCTTTTGCGTTCATAAATTTATTTGCTTCAACAAAATAAACAAAATGGACTATGCAAAATATATAATAAGGAAATAAATGTATGGGATTGGACCTCAATAAGTCAAGTGTAACAAGTGCTAAATAATTTAGTCAAATTTAATCCATGTAAGATAATTTTTGTCAAGAAGGTCTGAAACTTTGTGGGAGAGGGGAGGTGCGGCCCTGGTAATTGATTTCTTTTGGTAAAAAAATAACTCAAACTTTTGTGCATTTATTTGTTATTTTTTTCAATATATTTTTCATCATTTCTACATGACATGTAAGAATTCATTTTATTTGTCCATTCCTTGTTCTAACTGTCCCAGTTGGAACAATCTTGACTTGACCTTTTTGTTGGTTAGACTCATTAGCTTCTCAATTATTATGTTGAATTTAAGGCTAAGAATCTAAACTTTAATAGCTTTGTTTTGCTTTCACGAAAACTCATATGTCATATCCCCTGAGACACAAAGACACCCAAGACACAGACACTGATCACACCTGAGACGCAGACACCCGAGACACAAAGACACGTGAGACACAAAGACACCCTAGACACAAAGACGCCCTAGACACATGAGACACAAAGACACATGAGACACAAAGACAGATATTCATTGTAAATTAATGTAAATGTTTCTATGCCCATTTAAAAGGAATAAAAACTGATTTTTTAAACTGTATTTTGTCAGGGTGGACCCGGTCTGCTAGTTCTACAGTCTACTAGTGCTACAGTGTGCTAGTGTTAGTCTGCAAGTGCTACAGTGTGCTAGTGTTAGTCTGCAAGTGCTACAGTGTGCTAGTGTTAGTCTGCAAGTGCTACAGTGTGCTAGTGTTAGTCTGCTAGTGCTACAGTGTGCTAGTGTTAGTCTGCAAGTGCTACAGTGTGCTACTGTTAGTCTGCTAGTGATAGAGTGTGCTAGTGTTAGTCTGCTAGTGCTACAGTGTGCTAGTGTTAGTCTGCAAGTGCTACAGTGTGCTACTGTTAGTCTGCTAGTGATAGAGTGTGCTAGTGTTAGTCTGCTAGTGCTACAGTGTGCTAGTGTTAGTCTGCAAGTGCTACAGTGTGCTACTGTTAGTGTGCTAGTGCTACAGTGTGCTAGTGTTAGTCTGCAAGTGCTACAGTGTGCTACTGTTAGTCTGCTAGTGCTACAGTGCGCTAGTGTTAGTCGGCTAGTGCTACAGTGCGCTAGTGCCACAGTGTGCTAGTGCTACAGTGTGCTAGTGCCACAGTATGCTAGTGCCACAGTGTGCTAGTGCCACAGTGTGCTAGTGCTACAGTGTGCTAGTGCTAACTAACTAACTTAAGAAAATCAGCGAACACCGAGCCGAGGCTCATATGGTCCTCCCCAACGCACCACCCCGCCAGCCAAACCGGCCATCAACCACTCCCCCAGTGGTCTTTATTCCGATCGGGCCGCGAAGCGGCACGCCAGGGACATTCCGCCCCAAAGACCGCCACGCCCGACCTCCACTCGATGTGTGCTAGTGCTACAGTGTGCTAGTGCCACAGTATTGTGCTACAGTGTGCTAGTATTACTGTGTGCCAGTGCTACAGTCTGTCAGTGTTAGTCTGCTCGTGCTACAGTGTTCTAGTGCCACTGTCTTCTAGTGCTTACGTGTGCTAGTGCTGTACTGCTAGTGCCACAGTGTGCCAGTGCTAAAATGTGCTGCACTGCTAGTGCCACAGTCTGCCAGTGCTTAAGTGTGCTACACTACTAGTGCCACAGTGTGTTTATTTGACTGGAGCATGGTGCTGGTAATTATTAAACTTTCAGTTTCAACAGAATTAATGTTAACAGTTTAGTGCTTACTTTATGACTAGTAAAAAATATTGAGTTTTATACCTTGTCAAAATATTCTGACCATAAATATGATAACTTGTAATGAGCATAAATACTTGTACTTTCTTGTACTACTCTGAGCAATGATGGTACCAGATAATTTCTTGTACTTCTCTCAGCAATGATGGTACCAGATAATTACCTGTAATTCTCTGAGCAATGATGGTACCAGATAGTTTCTTACATTTTAAAGGGAAATGAAGACCGATTGTAATTACAAGCTGCAGTTGTCTTTTTTATTTACGTCCTAAGCCCCATAGACATTTTAAAGAATTCCATTAATGTGGAGAATATAATATAGATACATACATACATACATACATATGAATATATGCTATTTTCGGTATCGCGTTTTTTAAATATTTTCAATAAATATTTATTAAATGTGAAAATGTGTTAACAGTGAGCCTCTCCCTCCCCATCTAAACAGCATGCCTCTCCCCTCTCCCATGTTAACAGCATTGCCTCTCCCATGTTAACAGCGTGCCTCTCCCGTGTTAACAGCGTGCCTCTCCCATCTCCCATGTTAACAGCGTGCCTCTCCCATGTTAACAGCGTGCTTCTCCCCTCTCCCATGTTAACAGCGTGCCTCCCCCTCTACCATGTTAACAGCGTGCCTCTCCCCTCTACCATGTTAACAGCGTGCCTCCCCCCTCCCATGTTAACAGCATGCCCCCTCCCATGTTAACAGCGTGGCCCCCCCCCCATGTTAATGGCATGCCTCTCCCCTCCCCCATGTTAATGGCGTGCCTCTCCCCTCTCCCATGTTAATGGCGTGCCTCTCCCCTCTCCCATGTCAACAGCATGCCTTCCACCCACCCCCACCCCCGACAACCTAGAATATAAAGAAGCTCAATCTTGCAGACCCATTCACGTGCCGAGGGCGTGCTGTACTTGCATACATACATCATTACTTGGGCCTAGCGCGTGCTGTTCAACACTTCCTGTGAAAAGCCTTTAGACCTGTTGTTGTTGTTGTTTTTTTGTATTAAAAAAAATAGCTGAGGTCATAATATGTGACAATGAAGTAATGATGTACGGGGTAAGAAAGGCGACCGCTAGCATGGGGAACTGAACTAACGTCCCCTCCTTTCTAGAGCATCGGATTCATTTAAACGTATCACAATTTGATAGTCCTACATTCGGCCATCTGGCCCATCTCCTTAGTTAATTTGTGTGAAAACAACAAAGCATCTAGTAACTAGTTACTAGTAGACTACTCGTAGAAGTCCTAGGCATACTTAACTGAATCTGTATACCACTATTAGGACTTTTGGGTGTGTGTGTGTGGCCCGGGGAGGGGGGGGGGTGGCCATACTCAACCGAATATTAAAACCGACATTAGGACTACCGGGCAGTAGTAGTAGGCGTAATGAACCGAATCTGTAAACCGGCGTTAGGATTTATAATTTATAGGTTCAACATTTGACTATTAAAGTGACTGTGTAAATATTAGTTGCTGTGTTTTGAACGCCCAGTTGAAAGTTGAATACATTATCCTTAGGCACTCAAAACCCATTTTCAAAAACTTGTATTTTGCTTTTTAAAACATGACACTTGGAAAGAGCTTGTTATTCTGAGTTGTTTGGTACAAAAATGAAGTAAATCGGACAGTTATTAAGGAAATTATGGGATTTTGAATTTTGCCAAAAAACGCCCTCCATTTTAGGAAAAACGTGAAAGTTAAAATTGTCAAGTTTGGACCACCATAGCATCAAAAGTAGTAATCCCACATGTTCATTAACCTCTGAGCACATTCAAAACATTCCAAATTGTTTGCCTATTTTTTTTAAACATTGTAACTTTAACGGATATTCTGCTATACACTCTAAAAATCTGCCACGGGCGCAATTTCGCTATTTTTAGCAATGTGCGCGGAGAATTCCAATTTATCGCACTAAAATAAGCATAACTTTGCTATTTTTCATCTGATTTAGATAAATTTGGTACCAAATTGCTCAGTAAAACAAGGTCTTTCCTCTGAATTAACAAACTATTTAACAATACATTAAAGTTGAACCACAAATAGGACAAAAGAGCAACAAAAAAAATTATTTATATATATATCTAAGTTATTTATTAAGCTCAGCGCTTCTTCTATGGAGCAGAGTGCAAAAATATTATTGTTTACGATCACGTCCTTTGGTAGAGCCTTGGGACGACCCCTGCTGCTATGTAGGAATCTTGCATTATCCTTGAATTAATGTGTTATGTATCATACTGTAAATGTCATAAAATAAATGATTTCTACTTCAATATTCTTTTACGACAAACCCGTGAAAAAATGTTTACTTTGAACTTTAGTATTGCAACCAATTAAATATTAATACAAAGATATTACAATTGTATTATCTATCATTGCTATTATTAACATATTGCATATTCTAAAAGTTATTTAAACAATAATATTTAATTGTTCATCCACTTAAAACAGTGGTTCTCAACCTTTCTAAAGCCGCGACCCTTCAAAACATTTCCTCGTGTTGTGGTGACCCCCAACAATAACATTATTACCGTTGCTACTTTATAAATAAATGTTTTCCGATGGTCTCAGACGACCCCTGTGTAAGGGTCGTTCGACCAACCCCCCCCCCCCCGGTTGAGAACCGCTGATTTAAAACATAATGAGTGAAGGATCAACCATAAGTGACGTCACGCTATTTTGACAAATACCCCTTCTTTTATTTCTTTTGCACCTCCCCCTAATTATA